TAGGGGCATACACAAGGAAAGTTTTTAGTAATAAAAATATTCGAGAAAGAAAAACGTTTCCTTCCCCTACAACAATCACCCCTTTTATGATACCTTCTCGGCGAATTGATAAATACTTCCCCAATTTTTCACGAAGGCCCTTTTAATGTTGTCAGTTTCGATCAGCGGCGTTTAATACTTTTGTAAATTTTTAATCTGTAAATCTTTAATAATTATGTGCAAAGAATTGATCCAAAAGCCGCGCATCATAGTGAAAATCAAGGGTCTACATGAAACGACGGTAATGGAAATTGTACTAAGATCCAGCTATTACAACAGACTATAACCTAAACAATTCCTCATATTGTCGGGTCTCCATTAGTGAAAATCGGGCGTTTACATGTGCAGAGCTACACTAACAGGCGAATTTTGTGACCCTGCGCATGCGCGCCAGCAAATCTGAGCCACTTTTAGAAATTTTATTGACGTCATTTAGAGCGGAATTGCGGCCGAAGCTGTTGATGGTCTATCGGTGGCCAAAAAAAAAAACACCTGCTGGATCAGCCGTGAGAATTACTTATAATGCTCCTAGACGGCTTTATAAACCAACTTACAAGACAATTAGCGTCCGGTATGACTGTGTGACTGTCTTACTCATCGACTGATTCTTTTGACTTAGCCTGGCGATTGGCTTGGGAAGAGAGCCGGGCAGTGCTATTGTATAGGATTTATGGGCTAAATCCAACCCAGTGTGTACACCAGATACGTGAAAAATACTTTAAAGTAAATGGCCATTCAAATAGTCACTTGAATATATTTTTGTGTGCACTGTGACCAGCTTTGCAGTCTTGCCTTTCCATGATCATTCAAACCTACTCCTATCCTTTCTGAATTATGAAATGGCGCGCAAGAAAAGTCATATAGCAAAGACACGAAAAAGGAGCTATACAATCAGATCGTAAACACGAATGCTGGTATTATTTAGGGCCAATTAAGATTAAGTTAAGCCTACTTTTTTCATGTCTCTGTTTGTGTCTCCTCCCTCCCATAAAAAAACTGTGGCGCGAAGTGATGACGTGCCGACATTTAAACTATGGGCTGACCCTATGGGAAAAGCAAAAATCTGACTGTAGGCGTACTATATACTAGACTACTACTTGCACAGGAAAGCCTTTATGTTTGTTTAGCCCGCATCAGTTGGGAACGGCGTAAATCAACGTAGCCAACTTGATGAATTTGAATATCGAGGATCCGTAATGCTCACCTGTATCCAATCATACAAATAAAAGTGTTTACCTGTAAAGGTTGAACTGGTGAATATCCGGACGACCTTGGAGCGTTGCCTTGGTAACTGGACGCTCAAATCACCAAATAACACAACTCGCTCTGCATCTGCACTGTTGCTGGCATCTTTACCGGGGGCCGGCGCCATGTTGGGGCGTATAATTATGGACAGGCCAGACCAGAGATTATCATCGAAAGGGCGAGGTGTTTTGGGAGCAACTGTTGCAAAGCTTTTCTAACCAGGCCTACTTTCGGCCACGTTGTGTCACCGGGCTTGTCATGATGTAGATATTCAATGTACACTCGCGATGAAGATCCTTCTTTCTGCAGAGTGAGTCGGTATTTCCAGTGTCGACCACACAAATTGTATATTGGCAACTCCAATCCAACCAGTCATGCAGAGAAGTTGCTATCGCGATATTGCAAACGCGGTCCTGGTGTTAGTGCCGTTGTTAACAACAAAATGATTGACTTTCACTCTTTTATACTCAAGGCCTACAAATGTCAAGGTTAAGTAGAATTGAGTGGGTCCTTCATGCATTCGGCTTTTCGTGAGGTCAAATGAAATCATTGTTTTTATAGCTCAATTTTTACAGTAATTGTTTCATTCCCACCTGCTGTTTTGTGATGTTTATGAACATTACGTTCTTAAATAGAGCCATCTGCATGCAACGCGAAGGGTCAAAACAAATTCCATGGTCCAAACTGAACAGAGGACTTGGTAAAGTTTATGCCAGGTGCAGTTCCCATGGAACCGAGTGCTGCTTATTGCTGCTAGGCAACTGTGGATGTGTTCCTGCACGTGTAGCGGTATATTTTGATCGTGATAAGTCGGTTGAGGCTATACGGGGCATCAGTCTTTACAGAAGGCCCCGAGGGCGCACTCAAACCTAACTTTCCCAAAATCCGGCAGCTGTTGCAAATCCGATACCGATAGAAGGGGGGGGGGGGATTCGTTGTTTTCCTCATCACTTGATCCAATTTATTCATAGTTTTTTTTACATCCGTACGGTGAAGGGAATTAGAATTGATTAAAAACTAGTCATGCACATTCATTTTCAAGTTTAAATGTGTGGCTGTGTTAGTGACTAATGACTTTCCAATCCCGGTAAATACCGTTATATCGTTTTACCGTTTTGGATTTCCTCAGAAACGAAAAACAGTTAACGAATCATTTACCTTTTACAGTTTTTGTCAAACGGTCAAACGGTATTAAGATATATACGGTTACTCCGTTTTATCGGATTAGTGAAATTCATTACAGCATAACGATCAATGATTTTTGTTTTACAGTTTTACACAAACAACTTTGTAAAACAGCAAAACGGTCAGAGTTGAATACAAAGTGTGCATCTTGTGGCGGTGGGAAAGGAGGGGGCGGGTCAGGGGACCATGCCGTGCACAAAAGAGACTGTTACGTAGTTGTATCGGCATAATTGCATGGGGTGATTCCCTGGCGTGACCCTGACCCCCATCTACTGCTATTCAGTTGGTGGGGCTTAAAGAGGTGCATGCAAAAATGGCGTTGGGAAATTTCAAGGAAATTTCAAAATGGATATAGGATAGTAACAAAAGATGAAGATCTTCGAAGTTGCAGATATGTTAAAGGGGCACTATAGGTCCTGAAATCCCGAAAAAATTCATGTTTTGGATTGTTTATCCTTTTTCAAACATCTGGTTGAAAGGAAAACCAACCTAATATCTCAGTTACCGTTCCCGAGAAACGATGAAAAAACCCGGTTGTTTACATCGGACACGACGTAGTACAGATACATTTTTCCTGTCGTTTTAATGTCGATGGTGTGTGTCTATTACAGCACCGACCGTGCTCGCGGACGGCGGTGACCAAACACTAATGCACAAAATGCGATTTCTTACACGTCCGCAAAAGGCGACCACATTACGGACGAATCCGAGCTAGCACCCAAACAGCTCGACTTTTGGGGGTTGCAAAAACGGTAGACCCCGAAATTCGTTCTCGCACACACAAAACAGGAATAACACACAAGCGCCCAGTTTTTAAAGCATGGTTGTGAGGTTGTTTATATCCTAATCTTAAATTGTCTTTACTGATTAACATCATTTCGTTCAAAGCGCGTTTTGTAGCCCAATTTAGCTGTTCCAGGACGCAGTGCTCTTTAATAGCCATTCGCAAATTCTGTCGTGAGAAAAACATTAGGGGTGCAGTGAACTAATTCAAGTGAGAATTTCTACGTGAGCTCATTAGCAAAGAAGGCCCCCCCCCCCAACAATTTCTTTTGAAAACGGAGACCGTTTGGCTTTAAAAACGGTGGAATTGTGTAAATATGGCCAAGGATCAACTGCCTGGTTTTGGGGGCTTCCGTCTGAGGGCAGACTTGATAAAATTACGGTTGAAAAATGGGTCCTATATTTGCCTGAGAAAGTGGAAGGATGCCAATTGTAAAATGGCTATATGCAGGCTTGGGAACTATCACTTTTCGGGAGGTGATTTTGTTTTGGTTTGAGTATTTAACAATTTAATTGGCTAGTCTACCCAAAATTGAAAGAAATAAAAAGATGAAGGACTATTCCCTGGAAAGACGTATTCTCAAGACAAGTATTGAAGACTTAATCAATCTGACATTCGGGAGACTTGAAGAGTACCACGGCCAAATACTTGTGTCTAGAGCCCTTGCTTACATTACTTTGTCGCTTACCGTTGGAAAGGCCTTCTTTCGTTGATTACTAGAAAATGACAGCTTGCCAGAAAGATTAGTTTCACAGGGAGTTTAGTCCACTATCTTTCAACCAAGTATGTTTTTGAACAATAATACGCCGGTTACTTTTTCGGATGGCTGCAAATGATGGACTATAGCTTTAAGCAAGTCAAACCTGGCCATCAGTGTGGACAGGAAGTATTTGAAAATTGCATTAGAATGGGGAGGGACATGCCCCTGTAAAATGGCATTCCTTTACCCAAAATACAACTTCCTCCCCCCCCCCCCGATCGCGCTATTTTTCAATACCACGCGCTGTTTAGTATGTACATAGAATTATGCTGGAGGGCCCTGCAATAGTATAATGTTTAAAACTACATGCAATGTAGTGTCATGGATACTACATGTACATTGGATTACAAATCCGATGGTGCGAGTTCGATTCCCATTGGATGCTTTTTGTGGTTTGGAGGAATTTTTTTTTCAAAGGAAAATAAAGACCGAGAACCTGACTTGCAACTCAACGTACTTCGAAATACGCCCATATGCATGTGTACGTAAAAAAAAAAGGCGTACAGAAAAAAATAGCGCTCCCCGTCTACCGACATTTCATGAATGTTTGAACAATTATTATTCCGAGATTTTGTAAGGTAATATCTCTGAATACACAGGCTTAAGTTCTGTGCAGGCTCGGCTCCCGGTAAGACCATGCACCCACGCATGAATCATAATAGCAATGGCCATGAGCAAACAGCCGCGTTGCCTAGTAGCCACAAGCAATATTTAGTGTCATGGCAACTGCACCTGTGCGTAAACTTCACCAAGTCCTTTGTTCAGTTTGGACTGTTGTTATTTGTTTCGACCCTGCGCGTTGCAGGTGGATCCAAGAATGGGATTTCATATATAATATTAGCAGGTGGAAAGAATCAATTATTATAATTGCAATTACTGTACAGGTGGAGCTATAAACAAAAACTAATTAGACCTTAGGAATGACCAAACGCCCAAAGGACCCATTCAAATCTACATGACATTATCAACCTTATCATTGTCAGGGTCGAAGTCGATCGATTTTGTTGTTGACAATGGCACTAACATCAGGACTGTGTTCGCAATATCGCGCTAACATACCACTTCTCTACATGGCTTGCTCAATTGGAGTTGCCAATACAATATCTGCGTCGTCGATACTGGAAATACTTCATTCACTCTGTTGAAAAGAAGGATCTTCATCACAAGTGCACAGTGAAAATCTACATCATCACAAGCTGCAGGCACGTGGCTCAATGTAGTTTGAATAGCTTTGGTCTTTGTGGACCACACTAGCTCTCAAAACATCTCATCCTTTTGATAATTTCTGGTCTGTCTACGCCCCCAACATGGCGCCGGCCCCCAGTAAAGCGAACAACACTGCAGACGCAGAGCGAGTTGTGTTACTTGGGGATTTGAGCGTCCAGTTGCCAAAGCAACGCTCCAAAGTCGTCCGGATATTCACCAGTTCAACATTTACAGGTGAGCACTCTCAATCTATTGGATAATGCCCATGTGATAACTAACTGCAGGACTAGACTCGGAGTCTCCCCACAGTGAGATGATGATATTCACTTCTTCCAGTGGCTTGGGCAGAAAGTGAACTTCGAGTTTGCAGTGTATCAGTAAGTTAATATTATGCAAACATAGGGAACGGGGGACAAGTCCCCCCCCCCCCCCTCCCACTTTTTAAAGTGGGAATATCATATCGTTTGTCACCCTCCTCCCCCCCTACACACACCCTTTTTGTCTTCGAATAAATATTGTAGCCTACATATTGATTCAATTACTCCAATTACAGTCCCTACCCCACTTACAGTCCTGGAGAACTTCATGATTTAACATTGCAATTGGTCGGGCTTATATAGTTATCGTAATGCGCCTATCAAATGTCCCCCCCCCCCCCCGCAGCCCCAGGTCCGATGTCGGGATTTGGTCACGTTTTTCATGCCCCAGGGTGGGGATTTGGGTCACTCAAATTACATTGTTACCATTGGCGTACACCATGGAAATGCATTTACCAGTGCGCCCCACGTATGTATGTTGGGGCATGGTCGGGGATTGTCACTTAAATTTTGCCCGAGGGGTGGGGATTTTGTCACTTGAAAAGTGACAATCCCCACGTCTTGGGTGGGGCTGCCGGGGGGGGGGGTAAAAATTGATAGGCGCATAAGACTCCATCTGAAATGCAAAGCCATCTTGACAACCCTTGCCGAGTGGGTTCAGAACAATCACATGAGACTCAATGCTGATAAATGTGCTTCCATAGCACGCTGGTTACATTTGCAAGGGAACCCAGCTACCACTAAACAATCAACGACACTCCACTCCAGTCAGTCGTTGCAGTTAAGATTCTGGGACTGCAAATAACTAAAGACTTAAAATGGGACACTCACGTCAAATCTATCCTAATGAAAGCCAATGACCGGATTCACATGATAGAGACACTGAAACATTTTAATATGCCTTTACAAGCAGGACCTGGTTACAACCTATTCATGTTCATGTTAATAGACCCATAGCTGAACATTTCGCTCCTACGTGGCATTCTGGGCTAACTGATTGAGAAAGCTAGATGCTTGAGAAAATTAAACGCAGAGCCTGTAAGATCATGATGGGCAAAACAAAATACACAAGCTATACACTAAAAAAAACGAACCCAGACTGAAGTAATATTAGACTAATTAAATGACTGAATAATACTTAAAACTCAATTTTAGTTGCTTTTACGTTGATATTTGAGTTTAAACCGTTGCTATGACGTCACACTATTGTTAAAAGTGTGGTTTCGGAACTACGAATCTGTTACGCTGGTCACAAAGTGTGGATTCGGAACAATTAAACCATTGCTATGACGTCACACTATTGTTAAAAGTGTGGATTCGGAACTACGAATCTGTTACGCTGGTCACAAAGTGTGGATTCGGAACGACGAATCTTTAGTAAAGTGTGGATTCGGAATTACGAATCCACACTTTGAACACGTCGGACAATTGTTCTCTATAATGAGCATTCATAAATACCTCAGACAGTTTAGCTATTCCTATTGGTCGAGAGCCCGTCACGTGGCCGGTCTTAAACGGATGATAAAGACATGGCTAGCTGGTCTTAAACACTTTTCCAGTGTCACAATAAAATGTGGACTCCTAAAATCCAGTGCCTCTCATCGTTTCATTGGTTGAACGTTCACAATCCTCACGTAGGCATGCGCAACACTACCAGGGAGTCAGAATTTTATAGTTCTAAATTCAAAACGCAACGCGCCAGGTGCGTTCTGCGCGACATCGCGCAGAACATGATACGCGCGCGTCAATTTCCATAAAAGGGTTGTTTACATCTTACTCGCCAGCTGAACATTCCATTATTTTGCAAGAGGGATGTTTCAAAAAGCATAAAGTGAATTTGTTGAACAAAATCGGGATGTTTTGAACGAATTATATGATTTTTTCTTACCGAAAAGGTATTTATGAATGGGAATAAATATGTGCTCCGTCGGTATTTATCACTCTGTTTAAGACCACTTAGAGTCTGGGTGCTGATAATTACCCTCGCCTCCGGCTCGGGTAATTATCAGCACCCAGACTCTAAGTGGTCTTAAACAGAGTGATAAAAACCTCCAGAGCACACATTTATTCCCTTATTAATAGGACCGTCTGCGTGAAAATTTCTTCCGCAATTACCAATGCATCTTCCCTGTCAGATTCTCCGCCGTCACTGCATGCAAAACCTACTTCGAGTCAGAAAGAAATCATCGTCTAATTTGTCAACGGAAGGAGCCGGGACAAATGTTGCAACCTGACGCCACTTTTTTCCTCCATATATCATCTCAATGAAGGGCATTCATTGCAAAAATGATGATAAGACATGAATCTGGGACTGAGAAATATTTCCAATTTTGTTAGGAAATACTTTTAAAAAATTATTGACTCTCCATAGACTTTGTACACAATCGCGGAAGTGGCGTCAGGTTGCAACATTTATCCCAAGTCTTTTCATCTCCACTCACTGTTAATGCCAATACTTCTTTCGACGCAATGGTTTAAGTCGAAGAATACACTCGCAAGTGTGGATTCTTAATTTACGAATTCACTCGGCGCTTCGCGCCTCGTGAATTCTTAAATTACGAATCCACACTTTCTCGTGTATTCTCCTTAACAGAATCTTAAGTAAAGTGTGGATTCGGAATTACGAATCCACACTTTGAACACGTCGGACAATTGTTCTCCATAATGAGCATTAATAGGACCGTATGCGTGAAAACTTTCCTTCCGAAATTACCAATGCATCTTCACTGTCAGATTCTCCGCCGTCACTGCAAAGCCTACTTTGAGTCAGAAAGAAATCATCGTCTGAACTATCCATATGTCGACGGAAGGAGCCGGGGAAAATGTTGCAACCTGACACCACTTTTTTTCTTCATATATCATCTCAATGAAGGTCATTCATTGCAAAAATAATGATAAGAAATGAATCTGGGACTGAGAAATACTTCCAATTTCGTTAGGAAATACTTAAAACATTTTCTTGACTCTCCATAGGCTTTGTACACAATCGCGGAAGTGGCGTCAGGTTGCAACATTTTTCCCAAGTCTTTTCATCTCCACTCACTGTTAATGCCAATACTTCTGTTGACACAGTGGTTTTAGTCGAAGAATACACTCGCAAGTGTGGATTCTTAGTTTACGAATTCACTCGGCGCTTCGCGCCTCCTGAATTCTTAGATTACGAATCCACACTTTCTCGTGCATTCTCCTTAACTTAAAAAACATAAAATGTTAAAAATGAATTATACTTAATTTATTTAGTTTCATCCACACGAAGAAAATGAGTAAAAATTAAGACAAAATCATTTAAAATTGAGTTAATGATACATAAACTATTTGGTTAATATTACTCAAAAAACAGATTCCTCACGTGCACTTAATTCATTTCAGTTCTAAATACTTAAATCCATAACTTGTAGATGGAACGTGAGGTATTTACGTCATAAAAACACAACAAAGCTAAGTAAAGCCAATATCGATAAAAAAAAAAAGTCATTAATTATACGTAAGATTTGATTAGCAAGTTTGAGTAATAAACACGTAAATCACAGAGAGTGCGTATAAATTAAAGTGTTTAAGTCTTCAATGATAAATTCAAAGTTCAATAAAAATTGGTTTAATATTAGGATGTATGTATTTGACATTAAATTGCTTTTCGTGCGAACATAATATATAGTTTTTTTTCGGGGGGGGGTGTATTAACGTCCAACCAACCACACAGAAAACACAAAGTGAGTAATTTACTCATTATCGTTATAAATGAGTCATTTTGTCCGTGTAGTGAGACACCTTGAGCCAAAGTGTGTCACTACACGGACAAAATGACTCATTTTTGACGATATTGAGTCAAATTACTCACTTTGTGTTTTCTGTGCTGCAGCAGGAGAGAGTCCGATGAGTTCTGAGTGTTATGGAGATAATATTAAATGGCATTGCGCGGCCATCGTATCCCTGTTGTAAATCGAGCACTTCAGTGAATGCGCGCGGAGTCTTGTCTTTAGAATATTAACAGTGAGTAAATGCAAACAGTGCACATGTGCTTTCACAAGTGCTGTCGATATTGAATATGAAAATTCAACTTAGAACTGCGTTAAATAATGTGTACCGAGATTACGTTGTGATAAGTGAGGATACCCTGAAGTGTGTAGCAATACTAGCAGATAATTCCATCATTTCATTCATTACTAGATTCCCTTTGTATGTGAGTTGCAATTAGTCTGGTTCCCAGACCTGACAATTATTCCCGACGCACTCATGTCTAAATTGTAGGTCAGGCAGCCTCCGTAATAAATATGACGACATCGATGGCCCTTTTTCAAAGCTCGGCTTCGTTTCCGATTTCGCTTTATCACTTAATAGCTTTTAATGTTCTGATCAAATTTGTAAATAATCACTTGCTTCGTAATATACAGTTATGATGATACAGTTTGATATTTCTGTAAAGATAACATTACTAATGTTGATCTGGAATCTTTAAATTTAGGCACCCAAATAGCACTGTTAGCAGGCGGAGCCGAATGAAGACCGAGTTTTAGAAAATCTCGGTAACGGTCGTCAAAGACGCAGCAAAAAGTTCGTCCATAGGATCCGAGTATACTTGATGCTCAAATTTGTCGTTTAATTTAAAGTTTTCTAAATAAAAGCAATTAATATTAATTATTAACTCATTTTAAAAGTTTTTAATAAGCAATTAGCAATTAATTAAACCTATATTATACTCGGAAATACTCGGGCGCTATCCGATTGTCTACGAAATTAATTCGGCAAACTTCGGACATTTTCGGAAAAAGGAGGAATTCCTCCCGTTTTGGACACGTGACATGAATTGTAATACAATGTATTACCGGAGGCTACCTGACCTGAGATTCATCAGGAAACTGGAGTAGCGAAAACTTAAAATTATTACAAGTTGAAACGACGTTCTCGAATTAAGGCAACAATGTTGCCTTAATTTTATTGAGTAGATCGAAAGATTTTTTTTTAGTGTAAAACGCACTTGTTGCCTGCAACCTCAACACATTGGCTGAAAGGAGGGAGCAGACGTGCATGAAATTCTTCTAATCGCTGATTGCATCCAATCACTTCGGCAGTTTGCTGCCATAAGTAGGAGGGATGTTCACCATAGAGATCTCAGAAACTGCAACAAATTCTCTCTACCTCTTTGTAAGACTCCAGAGCAGTGGCGTAGCCACGGGGGGCGTGGGGGGGACCCCCATGAAACCTTGTCGCCCCCAGTCGCCCCCCAGTCGCCCCCACTGAGATTTTGAGTTTCTAAAAAAATCAAAAAAAATCATTGATCTACATGACGCCCCCCCCCATGAAATGTTCCAGCCCCCCCCCCCCAGCGGCCCCCCCCCCCCCCACTGAAAAATTCCTGGCTACGCCACTGCTCCAGAGAGAGTCCGATCGGTACCCCCAAAAAATCGTTTATTATGACAAAGATCTGGTAGGAATGAAAATCACCAATAATCTGGGTCTGAGCTCGTCACTATCCTGAACTTAATGTATTTTGTATGTTAAATTTTTGTGTAACTTTAATAGAGTGTTCCTTGGGGTGTTTGTTAGTTTGTTTGTTTGTTTGTTTGTTTGTCTTTGCTCCCTCCCTCCCATAAAGCTGATGTACACCTAACCACATCCCTTCCCAGCCTCCCAGCCCCCAGTCACCTTCCTTCATTTTTTTATTCTCCTTGTACCAACCTCTCCCCCTGTCGTTTGCTGTTTTTCATGCTTTTACATTTTCGTGCGTTTTCATTGCTTGTATGTAGAAATGTTTAAAGAAAACGTCGTTCATTGCAAATTAGATTTACTACTCAACTATTCACATACATCCATAAGTGAATTGTACGGAGCCCCTAAAAGGACATCCAAACTTATTTTTTTTATCTCGTGCGCACGACATAATATCTCGTGCGCACGACATATATCTCGTGCGTACGACATAATTATCTCGTGCGCACGACATAATATCTCGTGCGCACGAGATAATTATCACGTGCGCACGACATATATCTTGTGCGCACGACATAATTATCTCGTGCGCACGACATAATATATCGTGCGCACGAGATAGTTATCTCGTGCGCACGAGATAATTATAAGTATTAACGGAGCTTGCTTGCACGTGCAGCGGACGAGTTTGTGTGTAACGAAAGCAGCGTATCAGGCACTTTACGCTGTACATTTCAAGTCATATCAGTTAAAGGACGGGGATGTTTTTTTAGGGGGCCGCCACCGGTGATTAATTTTGTCAAGTTTTGCCTTTTTCTGAGAAAGAAGTGTTTTATGCAAAAAAAGAACCGGTACGTGCTGGCAAAAATCAGGGAATTGGTGGACAATAACAAGAAAATTGCCGACGTGAATTAAAATTGATTTAAAGGGGAAGGAAATGAGGATTTGTTATCAGCATCAGCAGTTTGAATGGATGCGAGTCAAACGGTCTTACTCTCCCTCCCGTTTTCAACGAAGTCTCATTATAAAGAATGAGTGGGAAGTAGCGAAGGGTGGTTGACCTTTAAGGTTTCTAAGGGTGGGAATAAAGTTAAAGCCCCCGCCCAGAGCAATCAGTTCAATGATTGACAGCTTTTTAGCCTTCAGCAGTGATTTTCTTTGCCTCATTTTTACGTTTTTTTGCAAATTACGGGACTGGTCAGATCAAATTTCTCCGGCTGCTTTTGGTTGGCTTTTGTTGATTCTCCTCGCCATGCCCAAGCAGCCTCCGATGGGTGTGTTTATAGTGGAGCTGCTTAGGTCCATTTTTTTGGCCCAATTCGTGCACTTTGTTTTAAAAGCATGGAATTTGCATGGAAAATGCTCAGAATCGGTAAAAAGATTTGGAGACCTTTTCGAACGATTTTTCCACAACTTTTAGGTCAGCTTTACCAGTGACCAGTATTGACGTTTCGGCATTAATAACGGCGATTTTTTTTTCACAGACATGAACTTTAGAATTTCTTCTTCTGTTATATTTTAACATTTCAATTATACTAGCAGAAGTAAAAAAAACAAATGTATAACTTTAATGACTAACTAAAGAAAAATGTGTGCATAAGCTTTCGTAGCAACAACTACTTCATCAGATGCAATGAAAAAAAAATACCGGTAAAACTGACCTAAAAGTCTTGGAAAAATCGTTCGAAAATGTCTCCAAATCTTTTTACCATTTCTGAGCATTTTGGATGCAATTGGGCTCGAAAGTGGCGCTATTTTGCCATGTTGTGGAGGGATCGTTTTTCAAGATGGCTACTTTTCCGCTTTGGGGAATATAGGTTACGTCTTCTTTGGGTGAGAATATCTAGAAAAGTCAATGGTCAACCCACCAAAAAATAAACAGAAAATGAAAGATGACATGTTCATCATCATTTTTCTGTGCAGCTTATATACATGTGAGAGTTCTGAGTATTTTTAAAAGGATTTTGAAGTATGGGCATTTAGCACTGGTGTCTATGGTAATTTTAATACAAGGTTGCACCCTTAAAATGATTTCTAACCCATTTTGACCCCACACGCCAATTTCCATGCTTTTAAAACAAAGTGCACGAATTGGGCCAAAAAATGGACCTTAGCAGCTCCACTATAAACACACCCATCGGAGTCTGCTTGGGCATGGTGAGGAGAATCAACAAAAGCCAACCAAAAGCAGCCGGAGAAAGATCTTACCGGTCCCGTAATTTGCAAAAAAGCGTAAAAATGAGGCAAAGAAAATCACTGCTAAAGGCTAAAAAGCTGTCAATCATTGAACTGACTGCTCTGGGCGGGGGCTTTAACTTTATTCCCACCCTTAGAAACCTTAAAGGTCGACCATCCTTCGCTACTTCCCACTCATTCTTTATAATGAGACTTCGTTGAAAATGGGATGGAGAGTAAGACCGTCTGACTCGCATCCATTCAAACTGCTGATGCTGATAACAAATCCTCATTTCCTTCCCCTTTAAATCAATTTTAATTCACGTCGGCAATTTTCTTGTTATTGTCCACCAATTCCCTGATTTTTGCCAGCACGTACCGGTTCTTTTTTGCATAAAACACTCTCTCTCAGAAAAAGGCAAAACTTGACAAAATTAATCACCGGTGGCGGCCCCCTAAAAAAACATCCCCGTCCTTTAACTGATATGACTTGAAATGTATAGCGTAAAGTGCCTGACACGCTGCTTTCGTTTCACACAAACTCGTCCGCTGCACGTGCAGGAAGCTCCGTTAATACTTATAATTATCTCGTGCGCACGAGATAATTATCTCGTGCGCACGAGATAATTATCCCGTGCGCACGAGATATCATGTCGTACGCACGAGATAATTATGTCGTGCGCACGAGATATATGTCGTGCACACGAGATATTATGTCGTGCGCACGAGATAAAAAAATAATTTCGGATGTCCCTTTAGGGGCTCCGTAGAATTATTTTCGTTTTACTGAAACTTTTTTTGTGGTCCGTGGACAGAACTTTAAAACGGTGCACGTGTTTAAAATTCCGTAACTAGAAAAGTACACGAGTGATTTGAATGATTCTTGTAAAAGAAAGCTTGTGCTTTCATATCCTAGATTTTGATAGTGCTACATGCAGAACTTCATGAAAGAAATTGGTCATGCCATTTGGGTGTCCTTTTTTGACTCACCCTGTAGACTGGCTCCCACTCCCTCCATCATCACATTCACTTTCAATGTAGAGGGCGGGAACTAGAACACTAAGGAAGGAAACTGTCAAATAACCGTTTTTCGTATCTTTTAAATATGTTCTTTTCATAGACACCTCCACAGAACGTAACGCTCTGATGCGCGAAACGTACCCGCGTCTGAAGGACTACTGCAAGTTTAACCATGGCTTGGAGTTCCAGGTCATTGACATGCGATGGGGGGTACGTGACGAAGCCACGGATGATCACATGACGGGACAATTATGCATGGCGGAGATCGCCGCCTGCCAGCGACTCTCTGTGGGTCCAAACTTTGTGGTGAGTTGCAACTTGTACATTCAATTTCAACCAATTGCAACTTGTCACAACTCTGCTTCTTGAAATAGGAAGCAATTTCACTTACTTTTGTGAAATAAGTTGCCTTTGATGATTTCACCATTTCTAAAATTTCTAAACTTTGTTTTAAAAAAGCCTCATATGACATATATGGCCCCCAAAAAGTCTTCGGTATGGAGCTTGCCCCAAAAGTGGTGCGGCGACGCGGCTTTTTTTTCTTTTTTTTTTGTACTTGTTTTTTCTTCAAATGTCGGCTGATGATGACTGCAAATGGTGCCCGACTTAATTTAGTGCAAAATGTATGGGAACCCAGAGCTAGAGAGGCCACATACAGCTTATACTCGATCGTGACCCTAAAAACACGTTAAAATTGTGCAGCAGCAGGATTCTAGTGAAACCAGTGATTTTGGCGGTTTTGAGACATCGTCTTACATTGAAAAACAAATTACAATCTTGCCGACGCGCATGGCTACGGCGACGCGCGCGCAGACCAGAAACCGGAGCCTTTTTTCGGCCTAATAGTACATCTCTTGTTAAATCTTGTTTACAAAAACTGGAAGTTGTGGTCATCAGGTGATGCCAACTTTCAACAAACGGTTCTCCTCTGCATACATCTCTTGAAAAATGAGTGGTTACAAGACTTAGTGTTTTTAATATTGGCACAATAACGTGGAAAAAAATACTTAACTGTTTGCGTTGCGTGCAGTATGACGTCACAAGTAATATGGTATATGGGTAACAGAAATTATTATGATCAACTAAATCGATCAAATTTGAATCAATAACTTCAATTGTAAATTCCTTGTAATCTCTGCCTGTGTTTGCATGCAGACGTTCCTGTGTCAAAAGTACGGGTACCGACCATTCCCGCCCAAAATTGAAAACGACGAGTTCAAAATATTGCGCCAAACATTGGTTGACAATGACAAGCCAATGGAAACGCTCGACACGTGGTTCATCCGTGACGACAACTGCGTCCCGCCTTTGTACGTCCTTCAACCAATCAGCTCCAAGCTACCATACTTCAATCGACAAGACGAACCGGAGAAAATGAAAGCGAATCAGGGAGAATGGTGGACAACGTTTGAGTTAATCCAGGGCCAGTTGCGCTTCGCTGCTAACGAAGCAGAGAAGCAAGGACTGCTAACGGCAGAACAGGCCAGGAAATACAGAATTTCAGGTTGGTATACTATTATTTGAAAAAAAAAGAAGAGAACAAATTCATGCTCACAAACACGTCTGAAACGAATGTTCTTATAGTACCGGTTGTGAGCTTATTTTAGAAAAAATATATCTTCCACATCCACTCTTCATGTGGATACTACTCAGATTCCTAACCCAAACAACGTTTCCATCAGGCTAGCCTTAACTCTGTTCTTTTGGTATGTTTTTTTTCTCTAATTCCAGTTACCAATGACGAGGTTGATCACGCCCTTTCGATGGTAACGTCTGCCATACAGGAGCATTGCTTGTGCTTCATCCGAAAATTCAGCGATTTAGAGAGCAAGAGTGAGACGAGAGAAGCCTCAAAGTTCATTGATCTGCAGGCTGGGAAGGTGGACACCGAAGCACAAGAATTACTTTCTGATCTGCGTGATAAAAAAGTTGCCCAAGTACTCCCACCATCCAATATAATCTTAACAGAGCTTGGCGAGTGGACGAAGGATGGGGTTAGTCTTGAGAATAAGAAACATCGAGAGTACATAAAAGGTTTCCTGGATACTTTTTACACCAGGATGGTAAACATGATAGATACTGGTGTCTTCAAGGAGAAGCTTGATAGTCTGGAAGATCCCTTACACCAGGAGGTTCTGCAGCACCTGTCTTTCTGTCTCACCAAATGTGTTGGGTTCCAGGGTCGCGATGATGTCATCAAGAAGGTGGAAGACTACGTCTTGAGACGAGTGAAGGGTGATAACGGGAAAGGTGGTGTTCCGATGGTTCTACACGGAGAGTCAGGAAGCGGGAAGACGTCCATCATGGCAAAGTGTGCAGCTCTTGTCAAGCAGTCGTGGCTTCCAGCAGGCTCCGGCACTGCCATGGTGCTACGATTTCTTGGTACAAGTCCAAATACCTCATCCATACAACGAGTTCTGACAACACTCTGCAAACAGATACTGCAGGTGTATAATGAGCAAGACTTCCAAGTTCCTACTGAGTATAACAAACTTATTACCGCCTTCTCTAAAGTCATGAAATTCGCCACGGTTGAAAAGCCCCTTGTCATTTTCCTTGACTCACTTGATCAGTTGTCAAGTGAACATGGCGCTCATCGAATGGTTTGGCTCCCGAAGGTGTTGCCACAGTACGTCGCTCTCGTAGTTTCCACACTTCCAAGAGAGCATGGCATCCTGGAAACAGTCAAGGAAAGACTCCCTGACTCATCTCCATACATTAAAGTGGCGCCCTTTTCCCAAGAGGAAAGCACCGGTATTTTAAAGACCTGGTTAACCTCTGTCAAAAAGAACATCACGAGCTCTCAACTGGAGCTGATTGATAAGGCAGTGGCGGAGTGCAGCCTTCCTCTGTTCCTTAAACTTGTCTTTGACCAGGCCACGCAGTGGCATTCTTACCATGCCATGGATAGATGCATTCTCAAGACAAGTATCCGAGACATGATCAATCTGATATTCGGCAGACTTGAAGAGTATCACGGTCAAATACTTGTGTCTAGAGCCCTTGCTTACATCACCTTGTCGCCTACCGGTCTCACAGAGACCGAGCTGGAGGATCTCTTGTCCTTAGACGATGACGTCTTAAATGATGTCTATCAATTCTGGATGCCACCTGTTCGTCGAATCCCTCCATCCCTGTGGACAAGAGTCCGAAATGACATCAGTTCGTACCTAGTCGATAGAGATGCAGACGGTGTGACAGTGATGTATTGGTATCATCGTCAGTTCATTGAGACAGCCCGTCAGAGGTACCTCCACGATGCCAACTTAAAGAAAAAGCTCCACAAGAATTGTGCAGAGTATTTTGAAGGAACCTGGTCTGATGGACGAAAGAAACCATGCCGATATTCTGCTCTGCAAGTCGAGCGTTTCGGGGTTCCAGCTGAAGCAGAGGAAGATCGTAAAGTCTCCAGCCAACCACTGACTTTCTCGGGTGCTACGGGAAAAGCGAAAGCCAATCTGAACTTCAACCTCCGAAAGCTTACACAACTACCTTTCCATCTGACAGAAGCTGAGGATTGGGACACACTGAAGACATCTGCACTCTTTAATTTCGACTTTTTGCTGTGCAAGGTCAAGGCCCTCTCCATGCAAGATGTCCTGGCTGATTTCTGCAATGCTGATGAGAAGACAACTGATGCGGAGATAAACATACTGCTTGGCGCCTTACGACTCTCTTCTTCAGTCATCTCAAATGATCCTGACCAATTGGCGCCAGAGGTCATGGGAAGATTGATGAACGCAGCCAACAAGTTTCCAAGAATAAAGTCCCTCGTCGATCAAGCAAATATGAGAGGGAGCTTGTCTCTCCCGTGGTTGCCAGTCAGCACATGCCTCCAACCTCCAGGGGGAATGATGCTGACGTCACTAGAGGGCCACACAGAGGAGGTAGTTTCCTTGGCAATCACGAGTGACTCCCGTTTGGTGCTAACTGGCTCCAGGGATAACACTGCTCGGATCTGGCAGATAGACAACGGCACTTTGGTACACACCTTGACAGGTCATAGAGAAACCGTTTACGGGGTCGAAATTGCACCGGATGATCAGAGTTGTGTGACGTACAGCCATATGGGAGAGTACATGAAGTCGGGGAAAGTATGCGTCTGGAATATGGAGACTGGAGATCTTATCCACCGCCTGAAAGGGCACACCGGGTTAAGCGAGTCAAACCTGGCCATCAGTGTGGACGGGAAGTACGCCGTCACCGGACTGCGGACAAAAATCGACTATGATGACCCTAACGAAGACACAGACTACGAGGAAGATGAGATCATCTCTGATTCAAAACGAAAACACAAGGCGGCAAAGAAAAAAGAGTTCATTATGGAGAGAGAAGAATCAGAAGAGGAGGATTGGAACGAGGAAGAATACGACGATGAAAGCAGACACGTCGTGATCATCTGGAACCTAGAGACTGGGAAAGTCATGCACTGGTTGAACAAGCACGCAGGTAAGTCAAACACAAAAGTCAAACATCATTGGCTCATTATTTTATTAGAAAAACACAATTTAGGCTTGATTGCCACGTCTATGAGTCGTCAAACACTTCAAGCTTTGCATACGAACTCTTTGCCTAATTCCTGTAATTTTTTTTCTTCTGTCATTCAATTTTAGACGATATAATGGGCGTCCTTACAACTGAAGTGGATGACCGACAAGTGGCGATATCTTTTTCCCACGATGACGTGCTGATTCTCTGGGACATGCTGAAAGGTGAACCGATCCGCGAGATGCAGCGCCAATTGTTCGACAAGGTGGCGCTTTCCCAAGATAGGCGACTTCTTGCTGTCCACGGCACTGAAGTATCTCTCTATAGCTTCCCCGACTTGCAACATCTGGGGGACTCCAGCAACCCCGAGTCTAGCTCCCCCGTCAAAGCCATGTACATCACGAGAGACAACTCTCGCGTGATTTCCGGTGGATCCTCTGGTCACGTGAAAATGTTTGGGACTGGACAGGGCACAGAGAGAACGCTTCTTAAGCTACAAGATGGCTTCGGGGGAGATGGTGATGTCACCTGCATGGCTGTTACTCCGAACGAAATGTACGTTTTACTTTTTCTTTTGCTTTGATATGTATATGTATATCTTGATATCTATATCATTACAAGGGGAAGCGACACTCCAGTTATGATTTTGTTGATCCTGCAACATCTTAAATCAGCTAATTGTTATTAAATGTGCTGTTTTTAAATGGTTTGGGATTTTTTCAGGTACGTTATTGCTGCACTGAACATGTCAGAAGCTGTGGTTCTGAACCTGGAAACATTGGCAATAGAGGTCAAACTTCCACACATCTTAAAGGCAACGTCGGTTGCTGTGACACCGGATGGTTCCAAGATTCTCACGGCATCGGAAGACAAGAACGTCCGTGTCTGGGATGTTGGAAATATTAAGAACTCAACATCGACTAAGGAGCCAGAATTGATGATCAGTAAACACAACGGTTACACGTATGAAGTAGTGACCCTGAATACCGAGGACAAAGTAATTACAACTGGAGATGATGGAACCATCAAGCTCTGGGATTTGAAGAGTGGGAAGCTGATCAAATCTCTCCAGGATCCTATGGATGGAAACTGCAGAGCTGTCGCCATCAGCAGTGATGATACCTTCATGGTCGGATCTAGCAACGGATGGTATGTACTTAGCCTTCCAGACTTTGCGGTCAAGGGCAAGTTCAAAGAGGAATGGATCACACCATCTCATTGTGTCATCACCCCCGATAACAAGAAGCTTGTCGCAGGAATCGGTCAACCCAAGTGGGGAATCCACATCTTCCATCTGGAATCGGGGCAGACACAGCAAATCATCAAGTTGAATTCTTGTGAGTTTCGCATGCTGAGGAATGGCCTATTCGTCAACCAATATGCATCGAGCTTGTACGACCCCTCAGGAAAGACAAAGATACTCCAGCTTATCGACAGCAGGTCGGGGCAAGTCGTTTCACAGCTTGGTCATCATGATGATGTATTGTCCATCGCCGTGTCGCCGGATGAAAAGAGGCTCGTCGCCGGCTGCAGGGACCACGACGTTCACTTGTGGCACCTGGACAGCTTCTCACGCATCACGGCGATGAAAGGACACACAGATCGTGTCACGTCAACCGCATTCTCCCCCGATGGAAACCTGGCGGCATCTGGGGCCGATGGCGGTGACGTCATCATCTGGGACGTCCAATCCCATTCCTTGAAGCATTCCATCAAGCAGGCGAACGAGTCTGAAGTCAGTAGTGTGATATTCAGTCCCGACGGCCGATTCTTGGTGTCGATTGGTGAGAATGACAACTACATTCAAGTGTGGGACACTAAGACTGGCAAGCATGTGATGAGGTATCACACGTACGCAAAGAGCAGATCCATAGTAATGTCCGCCAAATGCAACACTGCTGTTGTAATGCTACAGGATGGTAGAGTTGCATTTCTGAAATTCTCAGCTCGTTTCCAGTCAGCGAGCACCAGCAATGAGCAAGCATCAAATCTAATCACTGATGTCTCCATGAGCACGCCCTCAACGATGAATCAAGGAAAACCAAAGCAAAAAGGTCTCACCGAAAGAAAAAGTCCACCAAAACCGAAGAGTAAAACTTGTCAAGTTCTGTGAAACCAGTATCACATAGAAAGACACATACCATCAGACTTCAGCATTCTCTAGTACCATAGCTAGCGTTAAAGGCAAAAATAGTGTACCGTTATAGTGTAACTCTACAACGGTCGCATCTCTGCTATATATTCTATTATTGCATTTAAAATTACCCGAAACGTACCAACTGATTTTTCGAGAAAAACATTTAGGAATATGGTACAAAATATAGTTTTGTACCATTTTAGGGCATATGTGTGTCTGTGTGGCTTGATTATTTTCAAACGCATGGATGAGGTTTCATTTATAGTGTATGATTAGAAAATTTGAAGATCTCATTCGCTTCATAAAGATTTTTTGTTGACCGCAATTACCTTTTATTTGATCTTGCACCTTGCATCTGGCATTGGTGCACTCTCCTAAAAGCAATGCTGCTGCCCTGGAGAGGGTGGTTTGCAATTCCATGATGTGTGATCTAGTGCATGTGCAGTTGTGATGCTTATCGGATGATGGTATTGTCAATTTGTCCCGAGAGAGATTGGTAGTTCCCTCCCTCTTATAGGGAGTGCTTCTGGAACCCTCACAGATTGGTCAAAGTGACCGCAGCCACTGGTAGCCAGTTCTAAATCCAAACAGCTCTTGGGAAAGGGCTCTAGAGGTAGCAGTCCACTCTGGCGAGCAGGTTGCCTGTTGCTGTTGATGAGGCTATATGTTGATTTGCCTGGTTGTGTCGTCGGCTAGATAGTATGTTTTGGATGATGTTCGCAGGAGTAGTTATATTTACTTCGCCATGTAGAATTTTGTAGAGGGGATCAACCTGATGGAGGAGACGTCTGTCATGTAGGGTTTCCCATCCCAGGCCAATGTTGATTGGCCTGGTTGTGTCGTCGGCTAGATAGTATGTTTTGGATGATGTTCGCAGGAGTAGTTATATTTACTTCGCCATGTAGAATTTTGTAGAGGGGATCAACCTGATGGAGGAGACGTCTGTCATGTAGGGTTTCCCATCCCAGTGATGTCAGCATGTCAGACATACTTGAATCGCGGTGGTAGTCCTTCATGCCAAAAACGTGCCGATTTGGCGTCGGACACTCTCAACTATTCCGATGTCGCTGTTTGGGTTTTGGTTCCATGCAAAAATATTAAGTTGTGGTCTTACTAGAGTGACGTCTTCATAAAATGAAGTCACTACAATGATGCCATTTCTTGGATCATGGATCTGGCTTTTATTTCATACTAGGTTTCATATTAACGTTCATGTCAATTTGTTAATGACACGGCTAAATTCGTCAGTGTGGTTCTAATCGTGACATTGCAGGCATGTTGGTATAACAGTTTTTATTATGTTAAATTGTCATTATTAATACTGGCTACGACCGCTCTAAGCACTCGTTTAACCGCAGGCTTTTGGTTTCAACTTCCAGTAAACCTGAGAATATTTACGGCTGCGAAGGCCGATCTGTAAATAAGCTCAAATGACCGTTACACAGACTCGGACATTTTGATGTTCGCGGACAAATCTTTGAACATCAATTTCTCCCGTTTTGAAGACCGTATCTTCATGCCACCGAGTTTGTCTCCCTTAATCCCTTCAAATAATTCAAGGCGATTTTTTTTTCACTGACATGAAGTTCATGATTTCTTTTAGAACTATTATAATTTTACGGAAGACGGATAGTGCCACTCAGTGAGTGTGAATATATTTTTTGTACAGCGGCCGCCACTTATTATCTGGCGGCCGCCAGATAATAAGTGGCGGCCGTTGTACAAAAAAATATTTTCACACGTACAAAAAAAATATATTCACACTTTTTTATGTGGCGGCCGCCACTTATTATAAGTGTGAATATATTTTGTCTGTACGTGTGAAAATAATTTTATGTTCAGCGGCCGCCACTTATTATCTGGCGGCCGCCAGATAATAAGTGGCGGCCGCCACTAAGTGGCGGCTGCTGTACAACAAATATTTTCACACGCACCAAAAAACATATATTCACACTCACTGAGTGGCACTATCCGTCTTCCGTATAATTTAACTTTTCTATCATACTGAGCACATTTTTTTTTTTAAACAGAACGTTCAATATAGTTTGATGCACCTTTTTGGAGTCAATGTGCATTTTGTTAGAATGCATGTACATGTATTCGTTTATTTGGTATTCAAAATGCGGCTTGCGAAAATCAAGATTTGATAATTTTCAACTTTATGCCGTGTTTAAAAATATTTAGTTTTTGTTCAGCGTATTTTAATTAATAGTAGTTCGTGTCGCCATCAGCCTCGAAAGACTTCGAATTCCAGTGACCCCTGAAGGAAACTTAAAAACAATATTAAAATTTAGATTAACATTATAATGTTGCCTGCTGTGGCAGGGTCCATGGTGTTTGTACACCCGAGAGGGCGCGGGTGCCATTAACTCCCGAGGGTGTTGGTGTATACCCATGGGCCCCGTCACAGCAGGCAACAATTGTTTTGTTATACCACGGTAATATACGGAAGCGTTAAAGGGACATAATACAATCTTTAAAATAATAATAATAAGTCATAATTATGACATATCTCATAATTATGAATTATAATTAAGTCATTGTTATGACATATCTAATAATAATGACTAAGTATGACTTATACCTCATAATTACGACTTAGTAATTGTTTAATCATAATTTTGACTTATATGTTATACTAATGACTTTAGTATTAAGTCATAATTATGAGATATCCTAAGTCGTAATTACGGCTTAATACTAAGTCGTAATTATAAGATATAAGTCATAACTATGACTTAATAATAAGTCATAATTACGACTTATTTTTTCATATTTTTAGTTTGTATTATGGCCCTTTAACGCTTCCGTAGTAATAGATTACTAACGTCCAAATAATTGGGTCACTTTTTTCCTGTTACGGTACATAATTGGCGAACTTTTCGCACAAAATTTTCTAAATTTTTCTTCGTGCTGATGCTGTCCTGTTCAAAAAGCAAATTTCTTGTATCGTCTTTAGAACGAGAGAGAAACCTCTTCTTAAATTGGTGGAGACCTGGTGTCATCTGCCGACATTATCACGGTGAAATTACTGCGAAATTTGCACAGTTAAAAAAACAGACGAACAGTGACGAACGATGTAGCAACAATGTCGGTTATACTAGCAGAAATATTGCTTCACTGTCCACCATGGCACATCTCGTAAAAACATACATCGATTAACGTAGTACCAGCGTAGCTACAACCTCGTACCCGGTACCGAGGTCACACAAATATAATACAAACGCGGTGGAAACGACAATTTGTTTTTAACAGCGGGAAAGAAAAGGGTAATGCACCCCGTGAGGGTCATGTACCCCGCGTGTTTGTGACATGACACGTGATCGATGACCAATTAAAATTCACAATCTATTACCGTGGTATGACAATAGGTTTTGTCTCATAGCATGTTGTTTTTGAAGATTTTTTAATGAAGTTATCATGTTTTGATTTGTCTGCTTTCGATCTACTGAAATAATAATGACGTCATTAGTTTGATGCACCGTCTTTGAGTCATGGTTTATTTTATTAGAATACAATGTTTGTAGTCATTTATTTGGTATTCAAAATGCAGCTTGCGAAAATCAAGATTTGATAATTTTGAACTTTCTGGATGAACAGTACACCCTACAACGTTTGCAAAATCATGGATACAAACGCAAAGTTCACAATTCCGAACTATTGAAGTGCAAAATCCACAGATATGTTTTACAGGAGTTTGTGTTGTTCATAAAATGGAATTTTGCGCCGGGGTGATGTAAATGAAATTAGGCTTTGCCCTTCACCGATTATACTAGTGTGTTACCTCCCGGGTGAAAGTTGGAAAAAATCCGTCAGTGAAGGGCAAAACCTAATTTGATTTACATCATCCCGGCGCAAAATTTCACCTTATGAATATTTCTTTTTTATTTAATGAGAAAAGTGCAGATTTCAGATTCTTCCTCCCTTGAGTGGTGTTGCCGGGGCCGGGGGGGGGGGGGGGGGTATCTGGGGCACCATGGGGCGTACCCACAACCAAATTTGCTCAAATTTGTCAGGATGGCGGGCCGACGGGGCAGCCAGTTGCTGCAAATTCGAAAAGCGCAGGGGGAGGAGGAACTGGATCTTCTTGGATGCTTCATTTTTCACTTTATTCACATTTTCATAAATCCGAAGGGTGAAGAAAATTAGCAAATGTCGTGCTTTTTTTTGGGGGGGGGGGGGCGGAGGAGGGGTGGCACCTTGCAATGGGATCACTGGAAATCTGTCCTCTCTCTCCTCCCCCCCCCCCCCACCCTCCTTTCCACCCACCCACCCGGACCCACGCGGCAACCCCTCGCCCCCTTTCATATACCCCTGCTCGCTGCAGCAGCATGCTGTGTTTATTTCGATACCATTGTGAAATCCCACGCGCACAGCAAGCACTATGAGGTTGGGCTAGAGAGGGCGCACTTCAATATAGGCAAAATGGCGGAAGGTTGTGCTGTTCCTACTTTGGCGGCAACAGACGCAGGGCTATCGTCCAGATCCAGATCGGGGTAAAAACATTCATCTGTTCTCTTTCTCATTCACATCTTTGATGTTTTTAATGTATCTTACAAATGGTGAGGCCACATGGTTGAATTGCCAACTCTGTGTTAATACAAAAGATGAGGTAAAATAGGCTCACACTCACACAGTCACACTCATGACACTACTAGCAGACTAGTCGTCGCGTTTATAATTTAAACAAAATTTAGACCCGCCATAATAATAAGCTGCTTAGTACTATTACTAGTAGGCATATTGATAAAAATGATAGTCTAGCTTGAGAAAGTCCAGCTCCAATGCTTATCGGAGTAATCCTTATCTTTAGGACACCTCTATTTTTTACGAGTTCTGTTCAAAACTGACTTTTGCGCAGAAAACTGTCCAGTACCAAAGTGACTTTTGCAGGCTAAAGCGTTTTTTTTTCTTCATTTAAACTCATGTTAGTTGTAATTTTGAAAGTACTTTCAAAGAAAATGTGACTTTCCTACCTTTTTTTTGCAGTCAGACGTGCATCTTGTAGTTCTCACAACACGAGTGAAAGCCCTACATAAAGAAAGCCTGATGCTGATTGGCTGCTAAAAAAAATAAATAAGATATTTATTTTTTATCAGCCAATCAGCATCGAACTTTCATTGCATCGAGCTTTCACGTTTGCCATCTTGGTTTTTGAGTCTGTTTTCTGGTTGTCACCGTCATCTTTTACCCCTTAATTTTCCTCATAAATCAAAGCCGTGCCCTCTTTCCACAAAATTAAACCTGCGGATATTCAAGAAGGTGTCATTGCCAATTGTTCAGATGTGTCAAGAAATATCAGAATGTCAATTTTGAATGTCATTTAGTCAACTGTTTTGGTGAGTCTTTTCCTTTCCCTATATAGGAACGGGGTCAATGTATGTTGTAGCCAGCACGGCAGCAGTCTGAAAATATGGCATGTATGGGGGAGGCCGTGAAATTTGGCCTCAACCATGTCAACACAGCCGCCGAAATTTTTTTTTTTCGGATTTTAGACATTTTGTTCAATTTTGTAGTCGATTTATAGCTTCGTGAATCATTCATGAAGCAAAGGATCAACTTGAAAGAGAACAAAACTGACACAAAAAAAGTCAAGATTTCCGCTGCTGTGTTGACGTTGAGGCCAAATTGCATGGCCTCCACCATTTTTAGACCGCTGGCTACAACGTACATTGACCTCCAGCTCGAATTTCAAAGTTTTCCCTTCTTAAAAATGTCCTCCAAACGGATGAATCAGTACTTACATTTTTGTACAGCGTTACTTGAATGGAAAGATCGAAAGAAGTCTATGTCCAAATTAGGTCCCCTGAAGTGGCTGCGCGGGTACGTGGATATGGAGTGGGATGAGTCGGGGAAGGTGCTAGAGGGCGCTGTTTTCCCTTATTAAGAAATCCTCAAAGCGGATGAATCAATACATACAACGTAAATTGAATGAGGAAGATTGAAAAAACATACAGAGTGGGAAGTGCAAGCGAATTGTGGGTGAGCAGTCAAGCGTGACTCCGTATAGGCATACATGTAGCTGGCTACAAGGCGGGATGCATGTAGATGAGTGGCGGGGGATTATGCAGTTGTGCCAAATTATTATTAATTCACATTTGGGGTTCTGTTCTAAACTTAAAGCAGACTTTTTTTTCATGTCATACATATCATAAGCAAGATAACTGTGCATACAAACTTCAGTTTAAAATTCTTTTTAAAAGAAATCAAACATTTGTTCTATTCATACAATATTTCAATGGATGAAAGGCAAATTTCAGAGGGAGGGAATTACAGCTGGGCATACATTAACAAATTAACATTCAGGATTTTGCCAACAACATAAACAATTTACCATATTTGTCCCAACAAATTTTTGCTGTAAGTGCATTCTAAATGCATGTGGCACCTTTTTTTAATATTGCTTGCTTGTGTTCCGCAGATCCTCCTCTGGATCCAGTGAGAGTGATGGATCTCCAATCTGCAAGATCAGCCCCCTCGTCGCGCCTGTCTCGAGCTCCCCTAGACCCCTGACGCCAAAGAAGCGACATCGGGCAGAGATGGAAGAAGAGGCAAGGAGGCAAGAGGCCCTCCGAGCGACAGAGAAGGAGAAAGCAGAGAGCGAAGACAAGACACTATCAGCTGACGACAAATCAAAAGAAGAAAAGGAACTCACTGTAAAAGTGATACCGGAATCCGAGACAGAAACCCCTGCCGAAGCAGAAGCAACATCGCCGTCTACTACCCCAGTTAAGTCAAAAGACACTGAAATTGAAGCTACACCGACAGAAAAAGACAATAAAAGACGCTCAACTAAGAAACGCAAAGCAGAAGAGGATGTCAAGGATCCTGATGCTGCAGAGACCACACCAGCCAAACGACGGACCACACCCAAGAAGAAAGAGGTTGCCAAGACACCCGTGCCTTCAAAGTCACCGACGAAGGCCCCCAAAACACCCTCTTCAGCGACAGTCACTGAGTCCGGGGATGAGCCACCCTTACCAGACGGATGGAAGAGGATGGTAACTCAGAGAATGCAAGGGGAAAGTGCTGGCAAATTTGATGTTTATATTTGGAGGTGAGGTTTCAATTTTCCAGCAACCTAGTTCCAATCAAAGTGTAAGCTGCGGCCAAAATTTCATAGACCTGCCTAATAGTAAATGTTGCTTAACCACTTCGCGCCGGGTTTATTTTGCCGAAAATTCCGTAATTTTTAAAAGGCAAAATTTTCCAGCCAACTTCTGATATACAGCCAAATGCCACAAATACTTACTCACAAGAGTGATTTCAACAGTATTTGTACGATATTTCTTGCCGAAACCTCATGTTTCAATACTCGGGGGTGTGCATTGGAGCACGAATTGTACACCACTAGGCCGTGCAGGCGTGCACAACAGCCCACATAACAGTCGGCACACGGTCTGCTTCCACAGACTACACAGACTTTGTGTGGGTCCACGAGGGATTAGCATATTTAGACATCACTCGGAGGCTAGGCGAGGCAATCTTGATGTCTTAACCCGTCAGCCGTGCCTGTGCACAAAAACAGCCAGTGTGTGTTATCACGGCCTCCGGCGCAAACTGGTTAAATTTTCATGCTAAGAACCTGTCGCAAACATATATGCATTTGGGATAGCAATGCAAAACTTGTCAGTGCCAATTCAATTTACATGCTAGTGCTCCATAATATTAGGCTATCAGGCTTTTCAGATTGTAATAAGGATGTGAATTTGCGTTTAATTTTGTAAACGTTTAGCAAATATTTTAAGAACAGTTTAAACGTTTAGCCATTCACAAAGCCTGATGCATGCTCATTGTGTTTGCAGACCAGCGTGATTGACATGATAAATCAATAATGGCAGTTAATAAAAACGTAAAAACTTAACTACGTGTGCCCCGAATGTGATCAAGTATTGCAGTGCTTCAAAGGTTTGGTAAATTAAATAGGTTTGAAATAATTAATTGTGCTACGTGTACATGTATTCAGGTTTAACTCAAAGGAAGACTGCTTGAACGGAGAACGTAGGTCCCTTTTATATAATTCGGGTTTCGTTTCAACTGCATTTGCGGAAAATTTGTTGACGGATTTTTAGACGTTTAAATGTGTAAACGTCACATCTTGAGATTGTAAGCATACAGTGAAGCTTTCCGAAATAACTAGAAGATTATTTATATATTTTTTCTTGTAAACAGTCCATCAGGAAAGAAATTCCGGTCCCGCCCTCAACTTCTTGCCTACTTGGAAAAGACGGGCTCCCCCCTTTCAATTGAGGATTTCAGCTTCAAGCCCCCTCGTTCTAAAACCTCCGCCACCCCAGCCAGGATAAGGAAATCATCACCTGTCAAGGAGAAGAAGACAACGACCCCGACGAAAAAGAAGAAAAAGACAGCAGCGGTGGAAAAAGCAACCCCGAGGAAAGACCGGCCTAAGAAGAACAATGTGGCGAAGAAGTCGCCAGGAAAGCAGGCCGCGGGGAAGGCCAAGAAAGGGAAGCAGCAGCGAAAAGTCATGAAACCCCCGCCGGATACGGGGTCCAAGAAGGCCAGCCGGGCTCAGCAGCTGCAGAAACTCCTGGTCAAGATTAACTTCCAGAAGCCGGGCGACATCAGGGAAATGTCAGAGGAGGATTCCTCGGAGGAGTCGTCGGAAGACGACTTTGATCCCGGCACGACGGAGGAGGCGGGTCCTGATGTCAGTGATGTCTCGCTGACCCCAAGCCCCCCAAAGTCCAAGAAAATCCGCAGGCATTCCTCACCCACCGTTTGAAGACACTGAGTAATGAAAAGGTAATCCAGCAGCTAATACAGGAACGAGGGTCCGAGTCTGATGGCAAAAGTTCTCTCAGTTTAATCAAGAGCAGTGGTGTGTGGACAGAGCATTTTGCAACATGTGTTTCATTGTGCTCTTGGATTCTCACACCCATTGATTCACTTCAGTCGGTGTCTCACACAGGAAAAAGGATTCCATTTTTCCCCCAAGTTAGGGCCCGTGACCATTCAGCCCCCCAGTAAGCTTGTCCCCTCCCAAAAAGTCCTCTCGTACCGTCCCAGCTACCAGCCCAGGAGCTGGTCCGGTTGCTAATCAGGAACTCCTCTATCCTGGGGTCTATTGTTTGCAAGTATTGACACATGTAATATATCCCAGAAGAAGCCGGTTGTGGTTTTCATCTCTCAGCGCGAAACAATAGAACACTTTTGTTGGCACAGATCAAAACCCCTGCCATGCGGTTTCGCGCACAATGGGACCGTAAATTACCTAGGCGTTAAGGAAGAATTTTATCTTTAATCCGGTAAGTCTGCTATTGTTCTGCTCTGGACGTTCTCTGAAGGGCACTAAATTGATGCGCCTGACTAACTTCAAAACTTCTGGTCAGACAGGACCATGTACCGGATGAGACTGGGCTGAAGACCGGACTGGCTTTGGACCGGACGAGGTACCGGGGGGTCCTTTTCATACCAGGGCTGAATGGTCACGGTCCCTTATGATCAGTTTAATTGGGTACTGTATTTGTGATTGGGAGGTACATGTACAGAATGGGAATTCAGGTGAACCTATGTCTACATGATTAACAATCTGTGGTTTAGTATGGATATGGGAACCAATTGTTTTACTTGAAGAGCAAGTAGCACCATTTCAAATGTGTGTACACTAGCTGTTTCCGAAAAATATGATGATCAGGCAAAGACAATTTGTAAATTTCTGTATATTTTGAAATATAGACAGCAAGCAAAACAGTGGCAAAATTTGCTGTAAAACATCACAATATAAGTACCAGATCACTTTTTTTAAATGCTGATGTTGATTTGTATTTTTTCTATTTCTCTGTTAAGTTAGGCCCAAGATTTTCATCAAAAGTAAAATAAATGTCTAGATTTTGTTTTCAATTCACTTTTGAAGATTTTTATATTTCTGGGAAATGAAGGAGTCGGAGGAATTTGTTTGCTATTGTGATTTGCAGCTCTTCAAATTTTCCTGCTTGTTTAAGAAATTATCACAAGGTGCCAAAGGAGTCGGAGAATGATTGGTCTAGTTGGTGAAACTCCAAAACAAAAACTGAAAAATTGAAATAAACGACTGGACTGATTTGTCACCTTTTTTGAATGAAAAACGAGAAATTGTTTTGTCCTGGTGTAGAAATATTCATTGTATCATACATTTGGGTTTTTTTTTCAGATTTGTATATAAAATGTGTAGTGTACATATCAGGTGAGAAATGTTTTTAATTGGTAAGTTTGTTTTACGTTGTTGTTGTTTTATTTTGAACAACATTCCTTTAATGTTTGCTTTGATGAAAGAAGAAAAACTGCAAAAACACTCGGAACTTGACAAGTTTTCGTCAGATCTTGCAGACCCTTTTGGGTCATAATGTGAATCATGAATACAAATTAAGGCCGGTTCATACTTCATGGGGATGTTGGTGCGAAGCCAATTCCATGAGGTAACAGTGAAACTTCACTTGAAATAGAAATGTGTTTTGGCTGTCACTATGAACCGGTCTTTAGGACTTGAGAATTTTCTGAAAAACCTTTTGTTTTAAATAACTGTGGATGTGGCAGTTGTAGTGGTGTGTAGTTATGGTTAAGGCCCTGTCACACTGTCTGCGATCTTATATGCGCTCTCACTGCGTCCTTGAAAAATAGCTGGGGCGCAAAAACAACTACTAGATCGCAGCGACAACTACAAAGGTCGCCAGATGGGCGCCAGAGGGTCTTAATGGTCTCCGATGAGCGCCAAGGTCTTTGAACATGCTCAAAACAATCGCAACACTTCTGCGCCCTGGCCAGGACGCCGTAATGACGCATCTCGGGCGCTGTGCGAGCGTGAATCGTGCGACATTGAAGTGGCATTGAGGCAGCCTATAGGCGCAAGGCAGTCGATGTAGTCTCCATGAGAAAGTAACTCGCGATGTTACTGCGATGAACTTGTAGAATAATTTTGAAACTGGACTTTGTATTGACCGTTTTGTCGTGGTAGTTATACAGTGCAAGTGACGTCACGTGAGCGTATTTTGGTCGAAAAGAGAGCGCGACGCGAGCTACTAGGACGTATCAACAGCGAGCAGAGCATAGTGTGAACGCAGTGACAGCGCAGCGGCAGCGACTAGATCGAGTAATTGAGCTTGACAGGGGCGCATAGAGAGCGAGTTGAGCGCATCGTAAGCACGGGAAGAGCACAGTATGAGCGTAACTTGAGCTTCTTTGAGACAGAAAGTTGTCATTTTCTTGCGTCCTCGCTGCGATTGTTAAATTTATGAAATATTTTTGGTCGCCGTAAGTTCTCCTATTAGATTGCATATAATGTGACAGGCCCTTTAGTACCGGAACCGGGTACCCTATTGAAGTAAAACACGGATATTTGGGTACCCGTAAAAGAAACCCAACCCCCAAATTCAAATCCCGGAAGTTGTCGGAAGGGGTTTATGGTTTTGGGGTGTAAACTGCAGCTTTCACGAGCGCCATCTGTCGTGCCTTAACCCTAACAGAGCTCAACCCATCAAACCCCAACGGCATGTTTTGTTGGAATCTGTCAGGATGGGTACAGTACCCCTACACTGACACCTCCAGAATCAAAGTCGGAAATATGTGTGTGCAGTTTCCCATATGGTGTTGGAATTTGCCAGGATGGGTATGGTTCCTAGTAAATCATGCTAGGGAGTTGGGGTTAAAATGACCACAAATTTGTATTAGTTTGACCATGTAAAACTAGCCTGGTTTTCATTTTGAAAATTCCCCACAAATGGTATTCAAAATCTTTCTTTTCCATTGTCTTAGAAGTTACAAAGTAATTTGTAAAATTCGGTACTGACAGGTACCCGATCCCATTATCCGGAACCAGTTTACTGACATCAGCAGTCGGGTTAGTCTGGTACCCGGTTCCAATGCACACCCCTAAGGCCAAACAAAAAAAGTCTCCGGTTTCTGGTATGCGCCCGCGTCGCCGTAGCCATGCGCGTCGGCAAAATGAACAAGTTTTTTTTTTCAATGAAAGATGATGTCTCAAAACCGCCAAACTCACTGGTTTGACTGGAATCTTTCTTTCTTTTTTTATGGTAAACTTCCTGCCCACAAAATGTGGAATGCATCAAGTCAAAGTTGGTAGCCTAATTTTGTTTTCATAGAAACAAACTCTTCAGGAAAATTTTGTTTCCTTCGTACATGTAGGTGAAAAGCATAGGAAAATACTGATGTATCGTCCGGTTATTGTATTAATTATTATCATATTTTTTTTTTTTTTTGCTTTTTCATTGAATCATATTTGGGCTTGGCTTCAGTGTCTCCGCTGCTTTTTTTTTTAAATTAATTTTCACAAGAACAGTATTTTCATTTCCCATTTATAGTAATAAATCAAACCTGTCGCTATGAAATATCATTTTAAATGTGTATTTTAGACTATTTTTCATTGTACATTGTACATTTAATGCAATACGTTCATGTGCAAGTGATATTGTACATTAATTTTGCATGAACTTATTGTACAACGTGTTGTACCTCATTTAATTTGAAATAGTGTGAAATAAAAAGAGAAACATTTAATAACATACATTTCATTTGTCATGAAATTGAAAGCAGTTTTGTCTCATAGCCAATAGACTCATTCGGCAATCTAAAAAATTAGAAGCGATTTCAGAGGTGGAACTAGGTGTACGCTCTGGTAGTATTATGCACTCTGGGCTCCTTTGACCATAGGGTTATGAAAAGGCGTGCAGCCCTTATGAACATGTGTGGCATGCGTGGGAACTTGATTTCACCTAAAAAATGGCTTCTACATTGTACACTAGCTGTACGCCTTTAAGAATGCGTGTGGTCTTTAAGAATACATGTTGCCTTTTATAAGAACTCGTGTGGCATGCTTGGGAACTTAGTTTTACCTCAAAACATGGCTCCTATTTTTCCACATAATAACTAGAGGTCTATGTCTATTTGAAAACAGAACATATGATTTTTGTATGACTGCTTTTTTTGCCAATGTGCAGTCATGTCATTTGTTTTCAAAATTCATAAAAGTAATATTGAGCTAGTAGCCAACAGATAAAAAATATTGACAATTAGTTGATGTCATCTTGACGTCACTTCGGATTTTGCATATTGATGTTATCTAGCTTTCCACCAAGTTTCATGACAATATGACCTTCCCTTATACATGTACTTTTATTTTTTAAATGCATTTTTTTTATGACGTCATCATTTACACACTTTTCACATTTTTGTGCAAATATCTATGTAACCCACATACAAACACAGTCAAGACAACTATTGTTTTCTTGTACAAAAAGTGCCAGATATTTAATTTATTTTGAAATGACATGCAAATGTTTCAACATTTTTTTAAGTAGCAGTGTCATAAGGAAGTTATATGATACAATTTGGATTAAGAATGGTATAAAAAGTCAAGATCTCCGAAAAATTTGCTTGTTTTGAAATCTTTTAACACTGGCCCAGTTTTATAACTTGTTAATATCCTTTGCTTTGCATCTATCTTTGGGGTTGTGTGCTTTTGTTCACTGCATGTTTAGACCTCTTGTGCCTACATGTAAGTAAAACTGAATTTGAATTTAGTTTAAAAAAAAAGCCATAAGTATTGGCTTCCATTACAAAAGGGGGTCTATAACAATGTTTTGTTTTTAACGGAAACAAAGCAAACCACCTCGTTCAACCCGAGAAATATTGATTACGATCAAAGGGGTTTATTTCAATGAAATCCCTACACATGCCATTGTCACAGTAATTTCTAGATTATAATTTATTTAAGGGGAGGGGTTGACGGAAATCAAGGAGTTTATTGTAAAGGGGAAGGGTCAGGCTATTGCAAAGGTGAGAGCTTGATGGAAAAGTGAGAAAATGATTGAAAGAGGAGGGCTTGGGTTACTGGAAAAGGGGAGGGGTTGATGGAATGATGAGTGGTTGATCGATTGGAAATGGGAGGCGTTGGTTGAAAGGGGAGTGATTCAAGCAAAATACAGAGGGCCGAGAATGGAAGGGCATAGATCTGAAGAGTAGTGTAGCAAATGACGAGTTCAAAAACAATGGAATATTGTCATCATGTCACTTCAGTTAGCTAGCTAGGGTAGTCATCTGACATCGTGTAGTGCCTGCTGATTTGGGGCATTTCCCCTACAGTATATTGCAATGCTACATCCAAATACCTGGGGGCAAAAAAATAAAAACGAAATGGCGAATATTTAGATTTTCAGAAAGTGTGTAAAAGCTGAAATCTTGAAACAATGAACACATAGGTTTTATGAACACCTAAAAACAAACTGTTCTAAGTTCACAGTGTTTCAAGAAATGGTATTTTGGCCAAAAAACTTCCTAACCTCCTCCTCCGTGCAACAAGTGCATCCTAAAAAAGGGGGGGGGGGGGGGCAAGGAGTCTTTCAATGCACATACCGAGAATTTGTCATCCCTGGCGAGAGCGTTATCAGACCCTTCATCTCCGTGTCTTGCTCTACGCTGACTGGTTCTGGTAGGTACAGCACACTCTGTTTCCAGTGGGTTGGGCTGTTGGGACAAAGAAAGATGTCACAGGTAGTTGAGTCAAGTCACAAGTAACTGATGAGGATGAACAATGACAAGTGGATGTCCAAGTGGATGTCTTGTTTGTCACAGTTCATTCATGTTCCCATTCAAAAGAAAATCCACAAACAAACAGGCAAACTCCTTTCCCCTCTAATACCGTGTTCACCCAGGCTGGTTTTGTTAGGAAGAGGGTCTTAGGGAAAATTGTACAAAAAAAGGTTGATAAAGGCCGACATTCACTGATTCGCCATATTCTTATTTTTTTCATTTGACAAATTTGTAGTTTTGGTCCACTTCATCTTGCACGTGTCAACATACACGATAGGCTTTGTAAAAGATGGAGACCTTTTCCTAGTTTATTAACAACACACTGTACACAACATCCAAAATCAACATGACAGGAGGGACAGAATATATGATACCAAAAGTAGGGTAACGAAAGTCCGATTTTTCAGGAAGGGCGCAATACTTGGGGTCCTAATTTCCTTGCAGGGTTTGGTCATAGTTTAGAAGGCTACAAAGCTATTTTTGTCTGAGAGGGGGGGGGGGGGGTGTCCGCACATCTCTCTCTTGTACCTGCCCTACTACTACCAGGGTAACGCCGTTTTGAATCAACCTGTTTTTGTGGAATAAACATTGCCACTGTACTAAAGAGGAATCTTCCTAATTAGGTCTTTTAAAAAGCCACATCTGAACTACACATGTCTATGGAAGTGGCTGAATCTACTTCCAATAGACCTGTGTGTTACTGTGAGCCACAGCCAGGTAATTGGGCTGGGGCTTATAGTCTGGTGCCTTTACTCACTGTTTGTAGGGCGACGTGGATATTGTGACAGGATCCCTGTCCTGAATGTCATCAAAGGTCACCGTAAACCAGGCGGCGAATCCGCAGAACTTTGAAATGCCGAAACACTTGAAGTCGAAGGATCCCTGGAATTCAAACAGTCGCATGTCAAATAAATCAGACATTTTTGAATTGGAAATGGGAAATTAGGTAAGGCCATCAGAGGATCAGGTTGATGTGGGGATACTTCCCTTGCCGTCTACTTCTGTGACCTGGGTTCGAATCCTGATTCAAATTTGGGTTTCCGTCGAAATTCACTCTGAGGCTTTTCTTTCAACTCTGAACACTATAGTTTCCGTCCCGATCTTATACCAACGGACTTCACCGGAAATATGTCAAAAGATTTCCACGTGCTATCCTGGCCTAATGCCAAATCACATTCTAGCACTTTAAAGTTCAAATCACACTTCTATAAGCCTTGTTTTGTACTCTAGCATCGTTGTTTGGTTCATGTTTGCAGAGGAGATTCAACTCTAAGAGAGGATATCTCCCTTTGAATCACATGTGCGCTAACAATTAGCAATAATATCTCGGTTTCGTTTATTTTTATCCACCCGTATAGCCTGGCCCCTTGGACCAGTAAAAACTGTAATTTGTTTTACCATATTTATCCAACCCCTAATAAACACTTTCCCTTCACCAACCTGTATTGACTGGAGTTCTTGTTCTGTTATCGTGCTTATGTCGATGGTAGCTACCTCGCGTTCATGCGCGATCAAGTCTGAGCCAATCACGTCTTCAATCTGGACAGAACCTGATTAGACAAAAAGTAAATACTTTAATATATTTAATTTTTTTAAATTTTGCCAATATCAAATTTTAGTTAGAGCATGGCCTGCACATATTTCTGTATATAGAATAATTTCCCTCAATATTCCATCAACCTACAGTGGTTATCCGGCGACCAGAATTAGAAGCTTTTACTGCGGTGGTGTCACACTTATGTGCATGCTGCAAGCGTTCTTAAAGACCAGGCATGCAACTGGGAATTTAGGAAAAACAAGGAAATTCCAAACCACACAAGATTTTTGTACAGTAATTTTCAATTTGTAATGGCATTTCATGAGAAGTAAAAAATGAGGAAATCAGCCGATCCGAGGAAAAGTTGCATGCCTGAAAGATGAGGCGCACACGCATTTTGGTATTCCTATTGGTGGAAGGAGCCCGGAGTGCGTGCGTACTACCTGAGCGCGACTCGCGCGTGCCTTACGCCACCGCGGAAAATGGCTGCTGCCAGATTCGTCTACATTGTTACTGAAATGTGCACATGCCAAGAATGCGTGCAGCTATGCACGAAAGACTTTTTCTACATTTGTATCAAATGGCTTTCAGTTATATTTTGTCTATAAACCGTTTTAAGGAACTAAGTATGTTTTCCCTCTTTGTGTTGCCTTTTACCTCAAGTGACCTTTTTCCAAGGCCTTGTGATCAATGTGATGGGCAAATGCTTATCAGTAAACCTTAAAATTTTTTTAAAAAAACACTGTTAAGAAAGGGTATAACTCCATTTCTTACCAAAAATGCATTCCTTTGCATACGGGATCATGCAATCCATATTCAGCCTGTATTTACTCTTCACTTCTGACCAGAAGTCGATCCTGAGAAATAAAAAGAATTGGAAAAGATTTTCTGATGATACACTACAAACCCTTTTTTTTGTTTTTCGTCCTGGGCTTTTACAATTTTTTCAGTTTTCCTATTGCACAAATTTTGAAATAATTACTGCATAAATGTAGACAATTTTCAGCTGCAGGATAGCAGATCAAAAAATCAACATGTCTCTTCGTTAGTCCATTAGTTAGTAACAAACATTGGCACTGTCTATTACCTCTACCGATTTCAACCAAACTTTGTCAAAAGTATCAGTAGCCCAGCCCCAACATGTCACATGACCAAATTGGGGTCAAGGGTTATCTTGGGGTCACTGGAGTCAAAAATCACATACATGAAACAAATTTGTTGGCCCGCAGCTTCCAAGATCCGATCATGCTTGTTTTAATTATCATCAACTCACCTCTCTTTGTATATCTCTTCATTAGTAATCGGCGCCAAATATAAAGATGCTTTTGATGGAAGAATGATCCCTCCCTAGAAACAAAAAAAAGTTGAATATTTATATAATATTGGATGGCTTTGAGGGGGATACAAGAATATATTGCACGAGTCAAAGACGAGTGCAATGTTGTTACAGAGAGTGCAACATGTATCCCCCCCCCCCCAAAAAGGTCCAACATTATTATTTTATTTATTTATATCAGGCTGACTTGATCAGAAAACAACTGCTTTAACTCGTGGTGTAGTAAACTGGCCTCCCTTGGTGAACCTTGGAGCATTCTACTTCTAAATACAAAGTTCATGGATCACCTCAGAGGCTAGTTTAACTATATGCAACTCGAAGCAGTCAATATCTGTATGAGAAACGTTGCCCTTCCGAAAATGAATATAACATTTAACATGATTTTGAAGAGTTAAAGGGAATATACATTTACAAAAATACCAAAAAAAAATTCCAAATTATTATGAAATACCTTGCTGGACTGTTAGTGAATGACAGTCTAAAGCATCCTGTAAAATCGTGGCACCTGGTGTGCTGACATTGTCAAGAAATTGGATGTATCAATTTCCAACGCTGGTCAGCCGACTCGTGTTTGAAAAAAAAACAGGCTTTCTTCAAATACTGCCCCCAATTTACAATAACTTGTATCTTGTTTGCAATCGATTTCACACTTGTATGAATGGATAAGCCAGCTAGACTGGTTCCCTGACCTTACAATTCCCCAACGTCTATAAATTACTCCATTTTTATTTTAAGCGGGGTCAGGGAACCAGACTACAAGAATATGATTGTTTTTCTTGGTTTTTCCAGCATCAACGAACACAAAACTGCAAACAAGTCAATGTAACAATATTTGCTACAAAATACTAACCCCCAAATCCTTCGATTTGTGAAAATTACAGTAAAAGCAAAACTAGCATATTCCCTTTAATCAAAATGCAATTGGCTCACCTTTTTCAGCCACTTGTCTCTGGCATAGATGACAGAATTCAACATTGATTCGTACAACAGAAAGTGCCCCTTGAAATGAAAAACAAGACAAAAAGGGATAGGATTTCATGTTGAGTAATGGTGAAATAAGACGCATCAATCCTTGAACAAAGGGAACCAGATGTTTCATTCGGCCTGTTGATCAATCTCCTTACCATCCACTCGCTGACAATGACGTCCACCTTCTCAGGGAGTTCGACGTCTTCTACTTTACCCTGGATGACCTGGATCTGCTGTTCCATCCCATTGGACTTGACCACCTTCCTGGCCTGCTCCGCTATGGCACTGGCCTCGATGGCATACACTGGACGGTTAAAATATGAACAGGATGAGAGTATAGTCTTGGAGATTATAATAAATGAGTAATATAAGCACTAAGGCTTTTGTACTTAAAGGGCCAATGCAATGTGATTATTTAATGCAATCCTTGCAAGTGCAACTTTGTGTCCCATTTAACATTTTCACGGGTATTTTGGTGCTTTTTTGCTTTTATGCTGATGCCGATTTCCATATTTGTGAGCAAAAGCGTGATGTAATTTGGAAACCCTCCAGTGCCCCCCTCCTGCGGGGGGGGGGGGGGGGGGGGGGGGGGGGGGGGGGGGGGGGGGGGGGGGGGGGGGGGGGGGGGGGGGGGGGGAGGGGTCCCCCTCCCCCCTCCCTCCCTTGGCTATGCCACTGTGCATGTGTGGGATGTACTACCCAGGAATATGTACAGTACATACTCGCACAATGTGTTCACAAGCATTGTGCAATATGCACACGAACCCAAGGTGGGTCAGAATGATCATCTGTAGTGACTTGTGACTGACTGGAGAACATCCCTGCAATTATTGCATTCGAGTTGGAGCACTTACCCTTCTTAGCTCCGGCTTGTGCGCAGAAACAGCTGAGAATTCCTGCAGAGGGGGAAAAAAAACAAGACAAGACACGCCTAGTACAGCTGGTTCCAGAAAGCACAAAAAAAATCCTATTCAATTGATTCAAAATGGCTTTTCACTAGAAGTCTCTACAGCCATCTGGTTTACACAATGGGCCGAATTTAGCCAATTCATATCAGGTAATCCTATATGATAGCACTGCCCGGCTCACAAGTGGCAACCAGTCAGTCAGTCAGTCACAAAGAGGACTGAAGGCTGGCCTTCTTGGACCAACAAAAACAAACAATGACAACGGGCCAAATTTCTTCCACAACCTATAGACCTGTTCCCTAACACACATTCGCTTTTGTTAATCGGGTGACTTGTGTACCAGTTCCTGCCCCTATATCGGCCACAATCTTGCCTGCAATCTGTTCGCTGCTGCGAAGTATGGCCAGTCTGCAAGACAACAAAGATAAAGATCAACATAAAAATGTTGAAAATTATAAAATATACATTATCAGCAAAAAAGAAATTTCAAAATATTATAAAATGACCAAATAATGTGGTCCCCACAAAATTCTGTGACTTTTCCATGACTAATTTTGTAATTTTTACAAATGTCCATGACTTTGCCTGGCCTGGAAAAGTGAAAGTAATATTCCTTTCCCATTTTTTTTCCCCCAGGCCACGGCAACCCTTGAGAAAGCACTCCAGCATTGAATGAATCGGAGGTTTGCGGTAACATCATGTGAATGATATCTCTTTGTGAGTTGTGTGGTTCTGAGAAGAACCAGTTGGTTTAACTCAACGTTTCAAAAGGTATGCTCTGTTTGTCATCAGGCATGTCAGGAGACTGTCAGACACTTGCTGGTGTAGTGCTTTATAAGGTAGCAGACCAGTAAATAAACTTCCATTGACCCCAATGGTAAATGCTCCCACTTCAGAAATTCGGGAAAAATACTCACAACTCTCCAAGGTGTTCGAGACACACATCAAATGGCTTATTTCATCATCTTTCATTTTCTTTTCAATTTACAGGGGGGGGGGGGTCTACTGATGACTTTTAGGAGCAATTTTCAACCAAAAATGATCACCCCTGAAAATAGTCCTGAAGCCCATCGCCATTTTGAAAAACGATGCCTACACTCCTTTGCAAAATAGAGTGCTTTAGGGCCCCAATTTCATCCAAATTGAACGGAACTACAAGCTCACAGTCCTGTGCACGGCTTCCATCCATATTTTCCACAAACGCTCCAGTTCATGGCCCACAGTATGCTCAAATACTGAAGATTTTGAGGGCATGCAAATCGTGATTTGGCCAGCGCAGGCAATTTCGGACCGATTTACTGGTCTGCAACCATAAGCAGTGGATGGTGAGTCAGTGGACCGTTGAGGCGGGAGATTCTGGAACAGGATGCCAAGTTCACTTCAGCTTTAATGGATCACAGAACTGGTGACAAAGTTTACTTTTCAGGTCGTTTCAATGCACAACACCTCATTAACCCTATAACCCCCAAGTTGTTCCTCAGGACTACCCTGCTCAATCCAACAGAGTCCAACCAGAGTTTCCTGCTCAATCCACTGTGCCTCATTTTTTGTTGTCTGCTGAATCCAACAGAGTCCAACTTGGCATTATAATGCGGTTCAGTTGCCTGCTGAATCCAACATTTTGCATGAGGAATGTACACAAGGGGTTGACTGCTAAATCCAACAGGCTCCATCAGGCATATGACTTAGTTGGATCCTGTTGGATTCAGCAGGGTTAGAGTTTTAATTAAAGACCACTTTCTTTCTGTGGACACTGAAACATGGTAAGGGGGAAGTTTTGATGCAGTGTGGAGTAAAGTTGTTGATGGAGTAGGGAAGGAGGGATTATGGAAAACAGAAGTTCCAAATGCTGTACCTGTATGAGTTTGTCCTGACTTCATCCCGGATCATCTCTTCATGGATCGAAACACCCGCATATGACCTGAAAAATGAAAAATGAATTTTTTCATAAGATGACATTTGCGTTGGGGTAATGTAAATCAAAACAGCCTATAAGGTTTTTTGCCCTTCATGACGTATAAACACTGTATACTCAGTGTGTTACCTCCCGAGTGAAAGTTGGAAAACATTACTCGGGTGGGACTCGAACCCACGACCCCCTGCTTTCTAGTGCAGACGTCTTACCACTCGACCACCGAGCTTGCGGGATCGATTGACTGGTTCGAATCTGATGTACATGTAGCAGAGAGTACCGCAATGGACTTTTCCTAAGATGGACTTTGCCTCGAGTCCCACCCAAGTGACTTTTTCAAACTTTCACTCTGGAGGTAACACACTGAGTATATAGGGCATAAAGAAGCTAATATTGAAAATGGAAAAATTTTGCATATTATTTAAAGAAGAAAAGGTTGTTTCAAAGGATAAAATGCTTTTTGAAACAAATGTTCCCTCCGTGACCCCTGAAAAACCTAACAAAGTCCAAAGTTCTTTTTTGTCTGGGAAAAGAAGTTTCAATTAAGGTAGAATTTGATTAAGAAAAGCAATCCTATTGATTTAGCATCTATAACATTAACAGAAATCAAGAAACTTACTTGAAATAAAACCCATCCTCATCTTGCCGCCTTCTGTATTGAAAGAAAAGTAATCCTTAGGCTAGTATAAATAACAATGTAAACACAAACATTTTCACGCACATGCATGACATGCTTACGTTAATGTTTTTATGCATGAAAAAAGTAAGACTGCTGCAAACTGCTTACTGACTGGGTGGACCTGAAATATATAAATCTAAAAATTAATGTGGCCTGACGTTGCGAACTTAGCAAGTTCTTCTTCAGAGGCTAAAACAGAAATGACAGAGGTACATACATTAACATGGGGGTGCACACAAACATGCAGGGATGAAAGAAGAAACACAAAAGGAGGATTAGGTGGGAAAGGTGTGGAAAGATGCAGGGGAGGGTGGATGAGAGAACAAAGAAACAAAGGGAGATGGCAAACCACAAGGGGTCTGGTATGAACAGGGGAGGGACCAGAAAGGGGAAGGATCAAAGGTCACAGGGAGTGGGAACGGACAAAAGAGTGTGGGAGTGAAGGGGGATGATGTGGGGGGGGGGGGGGACAGTATGGAGGTGGAAAGGGATGAAAGATGGGGAAAGATGGGTAAACACAAACAATGAAGACCAGGTGGATTATCTGTAACAGAAGACAATGGAGGAAGAAAAATATTAATCATTTCCAAGTTGGATGTCGAGACCATGTGGTTGAATAGTTCGAAGACGATTCATCCACACTTTCTCTCTGCTGAGGCGAACTGAGTCCTTGCGATGGCCAAGAGATTCAATGCCCTGCAAAATCATATCAGAAATGGAGTGGTTAGGCAGGTTGAAGTGATGACCAACAGGGGTGTCTAGTTTCTTGGTGTTGACCGTTGACCGGTGGGCATAGAAACGCTTCTTGAGCGTATTCTTAGTCTCACCTACATACTGCACTCCACAGACCCTGCAAGAAATGAGATATATGACATTAGGGGTGTTACAAGTGATGTTACCAATGGTTCTGTGGGTAGTGACAGAAGAGTGGCCAGAAAAGGAGTCAGACTCCTGGATATGAACACACCTTTCCCACCTAAATCCTCCTTTTGTGTTTCTTCTTTCATCCCTGCATGTTTGTGTGCACCCCCATGTTAATGTATGTACCTCTGTCATTTCTGTTTTAGCCTCTGAAGAAGAACTTGCTAAGTTCGCAACGTCAGGCCACATTAATTTTTAGATTTAATGTTTTTATGCGTGCGCTTTTATTCAACCATATGGACAAATGATGGAATTGAACGTTGCAATTTTGACAGCATTTTGTTGTAGACATTAGCACTTACCGTTTTATCCGTTTAGCTGGTGCCTCATCTGATCCATTACTTGCCATGATCAGAAAATGGAGCTATAAAGAAGAACGAGTTTCCAATTAATTCATTCAGAAACAAACCTGTTGAATGATAAGCCCAACTTGATGCTCTTACATTGTACGTTGGCCCAGAAAAAAATTACTGAAACTTCGTCCTTTCAAAGAAACTTTTGTCCTTTCAAAGTTTCAGTTTACGTAGTGGCTATCGTTACGACAGCAGTAATGCAATTTTAAGTGCTATCGCTACAGTTGTGAATCCATTCCAACCAGAGGCGCTTTGGTAGTTCGATTGGTTAAATGTTCGACTACAATGCCGAAGGTCCCAGGACTGGCAGTGTACGGTCTATAACTGGTATGTGGCAGGCGATCACAGGAGGAGGTGGTGAGGATTCAACAGACAAGATTAAGACAGAGAACTGGTGAAATGAAATCCACGGTGTTACGGAAAAGAATCTTACAGTTACACCAACTCCTTCAGGCCCAGGCCCCCTTCCCATAGTGGTACTGGTAGGGAGGATATAATGCAATGAATCTTGCCAACCAAAATAAACGGAGGAAAGTTCTTTAATGGGAAATTGACCCATGATGATGCAGGACTGTCAAGAATCCGAAATGAGGTACTGAGAAACAGATGCAAAATAATCTTTAAACGTGTGTCAGTTTTCATGAATACATTTCAATTGGATTAAGAATGATATACACTATACCTACACTCAGGCTACAGTGACTTGTCCTATGTGACTGCTTGTGTTGCGATTCTGGAATCTGTTCGGCTTGCGACACAAGGAGAGCTATAAAGTAAGAGCAATCAGTCGGCCCGGAATGCATGCACAATGTGTGTGGAACGGTCGTGTGGAACACGTGCAACATGCAAAAAAAACAACAGCGTCATTGCGCCCTCAAGTGACAGCATAATTTCCAAGATAGTCCCACTAGTCGATCTGAGTAATTACACAGACTAACTAGTCGACTGCTATGCCAGGAATTCGGCTCACGCATGCTTTGTATTCCCCGTGCTATTAGGCGTAGCCGGGGGGGGGGGGGGGGGGGGGGGGGGGGGTAAGGGGGTATTTACCGCCTAATATATATTTTGTAAAGAGTTCTCTTCTTTTTAACAAGTGCCTTTTTATGAGCAAGTGACCTTTTTTTTGTGCCGTCGGCCGTTCCGGGTTCCTTTTTAAAAATTCAGCCTCACGCACGCATATCGCCCTGAAAAGCACCATCCCTTAATTTTTGCATAATCGTCGGTTTTGAATAGTGCCCCCGTCGATAGATGGTACCAGCCCCCCCCCCCCCCCCACCACCACCACCACCACCACTATTTGATTTTACGGAGCCCAAGTGTCCTGAGAAAAAGAAAATTTGTTTAGAAACGGGTCTACATTTCAGGACGGATGTGCAGGTGCCCTTTTCACTTACCCCCCCCCCCCCCCCCAATGAAATGACCTTGCTACTATACTGTATTTTAGAGTTTCACCACGAAAAAAAATTAAGATTGTTTTCCTTTTCAATTGCTTTTTTCCTAGCAATATAATAGTTAGTCACTTTTGAATGACACATTTGAACGAAAACAGTCCGGCCACCGACGTTTAGTTATTGACTTTTTTCTTGAATTCTTTGGCTGCTTGAATCGCAGGGCAGGTATTTTGTGCACCCCCAAAAAGTAAAGCCCATTTTCAGAGGGTTGCAAACGCCCAAATTAAAATATAGGTTTCCCGACTATTTTAAAACATTTTTTCGTTCGAATTCACCGATTCTTATATTCTATTTCGTCTAGCAACATCAATTTAGTGCACTTTCAATGTTTAATTTCGTCTTTTGTCAGACAATGTAAAAGTTAGTCCAAACAAATTCAAACAATGAGCACACGTTTTTGACCCGGTGTATTCGATTTCGTCTCGTCTACGCCGAATCGTGTTGTTCGGAATTCAAATTCGTCTAATTTATTCATATATGACGAATTTGATCTCTGAATGCTGCCATTCGGCAACAGCTTAGACGGATTTGATCTGTAATTACGAACATTTTCGACCGGTGACTATAAAAAGGGTGAACGTACTGTGGCGGGAATATCTGTGACCCGATCCGTAGTCCCTATACCCAGACAACCTAGCTTAGGATCAGTATCCCAGCAGCCGGGAATGCAGGCCCGTTTGGATGGAAATATACCGCCCTATACGCGTAGCAGCACTCACCCATGCCCCTCAACCTCAAAGATGGACAAGGACAGACAATTAAGTACACAACAGTCAATGACCTCAATTACTGCTTGATTTATTTACACAGAATCAATGTCATATGATGGACCTCTCGTTAAATTATAATGTTAGCCTCTAATAAGTGATTGGTCTCCGAGCCTCTCAATTATCTCTGTAGGGGTAGCCTCGCATTAGCCGCTACGGTAAGGCAGTGCTGGGCAGCACGGCGATGCCTGGCTGGGGATAGCCTCTGAATCCCGGGTAAGAACCGTACGCCTCTAGCGTTCCTGTGCGCCTCCACTCTCCCGCCCTCGACCGTTTCCAGTCGCAATCCTTCCTCGAGGCGGCGGGTAGATGAGCGCGCCCTTCCGGTTCCGTCACGTTACAATCGGCAGATCGCTGTATGTCGCTCCGCCTCCAGTAGCCTCCGCGGACTCCGTGCCTCCTTATGCCAGCCCGACTTCACCGCACCACCCAGCACACGCCCGTCAGCGCGCGCAAGCTAATTTGCCTACCGTCTCTTCCCCGTAGATGATCTCGGCGTACGCTCGGAAGGTTGTGTCTGAGATAACCCTAATTTGTGACTGCGTGTGTCTGAGCTGTGTCTACCTGAGCTGAGTCTGTCTCGCAACTGCTCCGGGGCCTTATATAGGGCCCACAGCCGCGAGCGCGCCCTCTCTAGACTACGCTGCTATAGTAATTTGCGCCACAAAGCCTCCTTCTTAGCATGAACGTCCTCGTTCATAACAGCTAAAGACCTGATATTCAAAAGCAAATTACTCAAAACTTTCTTATCAAAGCTTTTAATCTAAACAACGAAAAGGTCCATAACTTCAACACGTCGGCGCCTCTTTATACATGCGCCTCATAACAGAAACATAGTTAACTTTATAAAACTCTGAGAAAACTTTATATAAAACTTTATAAACGTTTAAGAAACTTTAAGAAAACTTATATAAAGGTTATAGAAAACTGTGTATAAACTTAAGAAATGATGGCTTAGAGAAACGAGCCTAACTCATAGGAACCCGTACGAAACATGTTGCCTCTGTGATCTCTCGGTTGCGCTGTTACTTCTTGCGGAAATCTTGGTCGAACTGGACATCGTACACCCTCTCCAACCGCTGCTCACGAACTTTCACACCCTCCTTGTACTCGAGGGTGGTCGACACCTCCTTCACTCGGGTAACCCTGCCCCTCAGTACCTCTTCCAGGGATGTCACGTGGATTGGGCGCAGATCCTCTCGGATGTGCGCAGCTGCTCCGTTGTTGGGTGCTGCCTCAGCCGCCTCATGTTGTTGCAACTCTTCCGCCTCCTCTTCACTGCTCTCCCCGTGGTCCTGCTGGGCCATAAGGAGCATCCCCCGAGGCTTACCACCAAGTGGCTTACGCACTGGGACTGGCACATCTTCTTCTAGCAAGGACAAAGAGGCCGGTGACAAAGACAGTCCTCCACTCGCCTCCGGTCCTACAATCGAGAGATCCAGGGGGCCTCCTTGAGTGATTGTACTCTGCTTAGCGGACTTCCGCTTGGCTGGCGGTTCCTCCTGTGCCTCTGGCTCACTTTGAGTCGGTCGCTTCTCTCCCCGTGGTTGTTCGTCGACGTCGTCTTCCTGATGGAGTATACGTAGGGCCTCTGCCCATGTCTCAGCATCTCCAAGATCCTTCACCTTCCGTCCCTCTGTTCTCTTCACCACCATCCGTCTGGTCTCCTTTGCCGCTTTTTCTCCCTCTTCCGAACGTCGCCTCTGCGCCCGCTCTCTCTCAGTCTCCAAGGGAAGAAGATCCACCTCATGGATGTGGGCCTCGTGATTCTGACGGTAGTGTCTTCGCAAGTTATCCTTCCTCGTACTCTTGAAGGGACACCGTACGCACCAAGCGAAGATCTGAGACGGGCCATGACCCACCTGTCTATGTCGGGCCAGGCTGGTCCTGTGCTGAAACGTCAGTGAGCACTCTTCACATTGGAACTTTTTCTTTTCCTGCTCCTTCATTGTGTTCAGTCGTCGTCACCTAATAAGTAAACAATAAAAACAAATTGATAAGTTACTGAATTTGTACAGAATTATATACCGCCTAACGGAAACGGAGAGGTAGCCTCCTTTCCCTCCGTGGGTTTCTTCGATTCTGGCTTACAGGATCATTCTCCGTGTCCTGCATAGTCTCTGTAATTCCGTCTCCGTCAATGCTCCCTATGTCAAGTACTGGGTCAGTTTGTGTGTCCTCCTCTACACCTCTGTCAGGAATCGTTTCCTCGTCACTCCTCTGGTGATGCCTCCCTGCAGGCGATCGCTCCTGATCCACATGAGGCGGAGTTTCAGTGACTTGTCTCGGAGGTTCTGTTTGCCAAGACTCGATAGGAGTGCCTTTGTAAGGCTGCAGTCTATCGAAATGAACCACGAGCATTTTTCCTCTGGGTTTGTCTTGTATCCTGTAGTTTACGTCTGACAGCTTCCTTATGATGAGGTACGGCCCTTCCCATCTTGAAACTAACTTCTGGGAGGCCCCTTTCTTCCTTGCATGGTTATACAACCAGACGAAGTCACCTTCATTATAACCTGCACCCTCAACTCGTCTGTCATACGACAACTTTTGGCGTCTAGCACTAGTCTTGGTTTGTTCTCTGGCTCGCTCGTGGGCCTTTTGCATCCTCCTGCGCAACTCCTCCCCATAGTCTGTCTTTGGTTCCATGGCCTCGTCATCAGGAGGAGGCGCTTCTATAGTAAGGTCCACCGGCAGCATAACCTCCCTGCCCAACATGAGCATGTTCGGAGTCTCGCCTGTTGATTCTTGTGGTACCGATCTGTATGCGAATGTAGCAAAGGGGAGTTGCTGGTCCCAGTCTCTCTGGTTACGATGGGGGTCTAGCATCATCGCCACCGTATCGATAAGTGTTTTGTTATACCGCTCCACTAATCCATCTGATTTGGGGTTGTAGGCAACCGTGCGAGTTTTCTGAATGCCTAATATCTGACACATCTCGGCGAAGACGTCCGCCTCGAAGTTGCGACCCTGATCTGAGTGCAATTCCTTTGGTACGCCATATCGGCAAACGAAATTCTCTACAAATGCCTTGGCTACCGTCTCGGCTGTACTGTCGGGGAGGGCGTAAGCCTCCATCCACTTGGTGAAGTAGTCGGCTATAACTAGCACCCATTTGTTGCCTCTCTCCGTCTCCGGCATTGGGCCGACGAGATCCAACGCCACCCTTTCCATCGCAGCGCCGATTCGGTACTGTCTGAGTGGTGCACGCCTCTTCCGAGCAGGCGACTTTCGTTTAGCACAGATATTGCATTTCCTGCACCAGGCTCTCACGTCCGCCGCCATTCCAGACCAGTAATATCTCAACCTCAACTTGGCAAGTGTGCGACTGATTCCAAAGTGTCCTCCGGTCTTCCCTCCATGCAACTCATCCATCTTCGCCTCTCGAAGGCCGACTGGGAGGACTATCTGCCACTTTACCTCCCTACCGTCGTTCGATTCCCATCGCCGACATAACACTGACTGTCTCATCTCTAGTTGGTCCCATAGCGACCAATAAACTTTGACTGCAGTTGCACGGGAGGACATGCTCTTCCAATCTGGCCTCTGACCTGACTCCTCTTTCTCAAGTACTACCCAGGCAATGGAGGGGTCTTTCAGCTGACCCTCCCGCAATTCGTCTGTGGTAACGTTTGGCT